AGGTAAATATGTGATCAGTTGTACGATGATTCGGTAAAAAACCTATTTGAGCTTCATGCAATATGTCTTGATCGATTACAAAATTTTTCAGTCTGGTATTAAGTACTGAAGTGAAAAGCTTTCCGAGACAACTATTTATACATATACCTCTATAATTTCCCGGGTCTTGCTTGTTTCCAGATTTATAAATAGGGGTTATTATTCCTTCGCACCAAGAGCTAGGGTAAAAACCACTTTGGAGTATACGGTTAAATAATTTTTGGAGTGCGGTTTTCAAGAATTGTACGCCGGCTTTCAACATTTCATTACGAATTTTGTCAGGTCCCGGAGCTTTCCTTGACTTAAGTGATTTCACCGTAGTTTCTATTTCATTAATTGAAATAGGGCTATCTAAGTAGTCGTGAATGTTTTTCGTTTCTTCTAAACTGGAAATGTCTTCCTTTAAAGGAAACAGGATCTGAATAAAAAGAAGGGGGTCTGAAACCGAATGTAAGCGTTTAAAATGGCTAAATAGACTGTCAGCTGGAATATCGTTTTTGTTAGAGGGGAGCGTTGTTTTTCTTTTAAAGATTTGAGGTAAGTCCAGAATTTCTGACTGTCTTTGTTTTGTATGAGGTCCTCAACTTGATAATCTAGTAATTTTGCTTTTTTGTGTTTAACCAATTTCTTAAAGTTTTTACGCACGCTGTGATAGTCGTGTCTGAGACTTTCATCATAAGGTTTTTTATGTTTCTTGTTAGAGAGTCCCCTTAAATTTTTCCTTAGAAGGGCACAGTCCTTATCAAACCATAATTTATGCTTTTTTGGTTTCTTTTGTGTACAAGCTAATCTGAGAGAACAGGCGCATATATCCGTTAAAATGTTTGTAAAATGTTCCGTAGCAGAGTCAATGCCTTCACTGTCCATGGCAAAATTAGTATTTTCAAATAGATTTAATCGTGAGAGGAATTTATCTTGTTTTAAGATATTAAGAAAATGTTCTCTAGAAGTTTCATTCCAGACGAATTGTTTAGGAAGATCAAATGCTTTTGCTTGCGGAGGAGTATTTGTTTGAGGGGAGATTGATGGGGAAATATTCAGCCAACAGATAAGTTGAGAGTGATCCGAGAAAATAGTTGGTTCTTTGACAATAAAATTTTCCGTCAAGCTTAATATTTCATGACTAACAACGAAGTAGTCTACGGTGCTGATTCCTTTTGGAGAATGATAAGTAATGTTACCAAAGGAGTCTCCTGTCGTCCTCCCATTTACGATTCGTAAGTCACATGACTTGCAAATGTCTAGTAATGACTGACCGTGCTCATTTATATGGGTGTCGTAATTTCTCCTTTTTCTTAGGTTGCGCTTAGGAAAGAGATCATCGCCGGGTATATGAATATTTTGATCAAGGTCAACGAAATCTAGAGCAGAGCCTGTTCTAGCATTGAAATCGCCTGTCAACATAATATTCTACGAAACTGACCACCTACCCCTCCCCTAACTCAATATCTTGCCCTAAATGGGAAATGGAGTTGAATTGAGAATGGAAGAAACAAGGATGGGTAGAGGTATATACATCAACCAGTTAGTCCGCTGATTAACTCAGGGTACCTTGTAGTGGTGGTGAACTATCCGGTTTTTGTCTACTAATTATCTCTTCATGTATTTTATTTCCAGAAACCCTCAAAACTAGCATCCTTCGCAGGCAACTCTCGTTACACTGACCGTGAGGAGGCTGAGAACAAGAAAAGGAGAATAAAAAGTAGAATCCAATATTTTCCAAATTTCTGAAAGTTTAACAATTTTGGTGACGGCCGGAGAGTAGCGAAAAACCGCATTTTTCACCAATTCCTCTTCTTTGGACTGGTTTTCTGCTAATTAGCATAAGAATGGCTAAAAATGAGTTTTGCAACAAAAAAAGGCAAATTTTCCGACTAATAGGGCTTAATTAAACAGCTTTTTTTTGGTTTTGACGCATGCGCACAAGCAAGAATTTTGACTCAGTTTTGCGAATCTATTTCGATCTTTCTCTCTCGCTCTCTTTTTTTCATTTTCCTTTCTTCAGTCTTTATTAGCAGTCTTCTTGCCGACTTTATCGTCTTTCATTTGCAAGGAATTGTCAGTGGCCAGCTTTTTAGAAAAGGGACAAACATAATCTTCAAAGAGTAGTAGCTAAACAGCGAAATTGACAGTGGATTTTTCCCCAAAATGTTACCTTTGTGTGTGTGTGACTCTGTTAGTAATGGTCAGAATATCCAAAACGAGATGTCGCTGGAAAGATCTATCTTGGCTGACGTTGTTGCTTACCAATTAATTAACTTAACCTGAAAGCTAAATGGGTCCAGGAAGGAAGGTATGCATTGTTCCACAGGGCACGAAAACGACCAAAGCAGTCATCTAAGGGATAATTATTAACCCCTCTCCCTCCCTTATTTTCATTACATAAAGAAAGCTCATGCAGACGCATTACCCACCTTCGCAGTTTGTTGTTCCATCTCCTCTAAATCCTGCATTACAGTTGCATTTAAAAGATCCTTCTTCATTTTGACACGTTGCTTTTATATGACAGTTATGAGGACCACCCACGCACTCGTCTATATCTACAATACAATGGTTTACTGGATCAGTATGAAATTCCGCAACACTGAGTTTCTGCATGCTCCTCCCATAACTCTTTCGCTCTCGCTCTCTTTTTTTCCTTTGCCTTTCTTCTTCGTTAGCAGTTTCCTTGCCCACTTTATCGTTTAGTTTTGCATGGAATTGTGGCTGGCCAGCTTTTTAGGAAAGGGACAAATATAATCTTCAAAGAGTATTAGGTAAACAGCGAAATAAAGACCGCTCATGCAGACACATTACCCACCTTCGCAGTTTGTTTTTCCGTCTCCAGCAAATCCTGGATTACAGTTGCATTCAAAAGATCCTTCTTCATTTTGACACTTTGCGTTTGTATGACAGTTATGAAGACCATCCACGCACTCGTCTATATCTATAATACAATGGTTAACTGAATCAGAATAAAATTCTGCAAAACTGACTACCTACCCCTCCCCTAACTCAATATTTTGCCTTAAATGGGAAATGGAGTTCAATACAATTCGCCTCTTTAGAAACGAGATGAGAACTGGACCCAAAATGTGTCCCGCAATTGTTTCTGGGATCGTTACTGGGGACGCGGAGGATAGCTTCTTGTTGGTTTTCACATGACGTCACTAAAATTCAAACTACAAAACTATCGATCCTACTGAGATTTTACTTTCATGGTGTATTAGAGCAGCTGAAAACTAATTTTCAAACAAATTTTCGCTTCAAAAGGGTTCTTGGTTTTGTAATAGAGTACGCTTGGATTTCTAAGCTTTTGCGTGACGCTGCAGTTACATGACGGCCGAAAGAGCTGTCATTTAGGATAAAAAAGTGATTTTTTCGAGAAATTTTGCTATCTAAACAGTTCAAGTGTTAGAGAAAGTATTACTTTAATGTTTATGAGTTCCTTTAGGAGTAATTTCACGCTTTTGTAGCAAAACTCGGTAACAGATGTTTCTGTTGGTCTCCATACAAAGCTCTATAAATTTGGGTAAAACATTTCCTCAGATAACTCGTATACGAGTTATTCCTTCGACCCAAATCTTGGCGATCTTGTCTTTGTATATTTACCTCCTTTCATTTCCCGGATTCTGGACTTTATCTGTCGAATGGTTTTGATTTTTATTTTGATCTATTTTGGATGGCGTAACACTGAAAACCAGCAATTGGCTAATTCTTTTTCTTATCCCGAGTAACAGTCCCGGAAGTCTTTGCGAAAGTTAACTCGTCCCTGATTGCCTTTTGGGGAAATGGGGCTGAACTGGAAATGAAAGAAATAAGGGTGAAAAAGGTACACATGTAACATAAACAAGTTAGTCCGCTAATAGGCTCAGGGTCACCTTGATGTGGTTGTAGACTATCTTGTCTTTGCCTACTACTATGAAAAACGGCGCGAGGGAGCGTTTTTCCCTTCGGGCGGAGGCTGCAGCCACACGAAGGATACATGTGTTCCGATACTCTATCCCTATTTCTGTCCAACATCTGGGATTTAAGATGTCTGGACCTGAACCACTATTCTCAAAAGACAGTAAATAAAAAATGTGCAATTCTAGACCTTGTTTCCAGAGGGGGCAAAGCCTTACACTTATTCAAACCCAAACGGTTAAAATCTACACTTTATTTCAGACCCATGACGAGAGTTCAAATGAGTGAGTGGCCTTCTGGCATTGAACCAACATGGCGGTAATGGTGATGAAGCATGCATAGCTTATCTTTTGCGGTATACCTTGGTCACATTGGTCTCCAGTCCACCCGGGTGAGTTGCACCGGCAAGTGAAAGACTCGCGCCCGTTCACACACGTTGCATTTTGCGGACATTGGTGGTTTTTGCAGTAATCAGCGACTGCAAAACAGAAACAAATGGCCCCATGTAAGGTAATCCGGATTGGAATTACGAAATTCGGCTCAAGGAATCCGAAATACGGCTACCGATTGGAATCCGGAATTCAAGTTCCCGGATTCGGAATCCACAGCGAGGAATCTAGAATCCAAGACTGTTTTGGATCACTGTCCTTTAGGCGAAACAACATAACAATTAATTAGTGCGGTCCACTCCTTAGAAAAAGACATTTTTGCATGAAAGGTGAACATGGTTGGCGGAAAATGTTTTTATCTCTTGTCAGCTTCTTTTCAGTGTGTCTTTTATCGACTGCAGAAAATGTACGGATTTACCATGATAAGTTTAACTTCGTATTTTAATGCGCCGACAAATGGCGAAATGTAAATGCGTGGATAAGTGTTCAATAATAACCCTTGTAGAGGCTCAGGGATAATCACTGGAGCAGTTTTTACTGAGAAATTTTAAGTAATTCGCAGCTAGCTTTCCTCCTAGAAATCACTCCATTTAAGTGCTTTTAGCATTGTTTATTGATCATTCATCTTACTGTAAAATTAGCAACGGTTATAAACAGATTTTGTGGATTCCCCTGCAGCTACAAGAACTATAAAAACGACCTACTTGGCGTAGGCTCGCTCATGTCACAATGAACAAACACAGAGGTCCCAGATCCGCTTGGATCCAACCAGTATTCACCGCTGACAGCTTGTTCTCCTTCACTCGCCTTGATCTCTGCGCACGATTCAGCAGAGAGGACGGGAATAGAACCGAGGCGCTCTGGAGAAAAAACAAACGACAGCTAAATTAAATTCATGTCCAATGACAAAGGTCCTAGGAAACTTTTTGAAAAAGTTCACTTTTTGTGCACTATTTTGTATTGGGAACAATTAATACCGTCCTATTCAAGGAATATTCGGAATGGAATTGAAAACTTCATTGATGTGTCGGAGCCGTTTAGCTTGGGAAAAAGCCCATACTAATTTGGGGACAAAAAAAATCGGGGCAGCTTAAGCGCTTAAATTGTTTTTACTTCCCTTTCTTACTTCAATATCTTTCAATGTTTTATGTATGAGGCAATTATATCGTCTCTGCCATATAACCTGGATTTCCGAAGATGTCCTAACGACTTTCGATTGATAATAGGCATTTACCTCTTTGTGGATCCAATCTAATAGAAGACGAAGTTCACCTAATTTTTCGTTGTTCTACATACTCTATAATTAGGAATAAATAAATTTTTACAAAGTTAAGACTCTGGTTCCAAATATTACCACCTCAGTCACCTGTAAACGTTATGATCAATGAACTGATGAACTCCTCTAATAACTTAATCAATATACAATTCATGAAATATATTTCAGCTTGCTTTGATCTTCGTGACAAATTAATACCAAAACTCAATTGCCCTATGACTTAATTTTAATTCTTCTTTTCAAAATAGCTTTTGCAATACTGTATCGGTACTTGTATGGTCATGCTATTAATAAAGCTCGTTGTTCTTCGTAGGCGGAAATGTCTCGACGATTCCGATCGAACATTGATCAAGATGTTCTAACGACTGCCGAAGTTTTCAAAAAACGTCTCGAAAGGATATAAAACATAAACAGAGGTAATAAACAATATAGTTTTCCCCACTTTCATATCAACTTGACGTTGGTGAAAGACGGACTTCACTCATGACACACCCAAATTGCACAAGGTGGTTTGAAGTGTTGATGTTTGGGCTCAACCAATATATGACATTTTTTTGAAATTCAATGGTAACGCTGGAAGCACCAGAAAAATGCCCAGAAAATGCTTAGAAATCGTTCTGTTATTGTACAATTTGCATGTTCTTCCTTTGAACCTCAAAATAGCAACGTTCAGCTGAGGGCGCCTGAGGAAACTTGGACTGATTTAAGATTGATGCAAAGGGCCATGGGAAAGGTGAACCAAACTTTACTCTTCCCAAGCCGCCTTGCGCGCTTCGAAAATTCGTTTCCAAGCTTGTCCGCGATTTCCTAGAACGCACCCGGGACGCTACAAGGCAAGAATAATGCGTTGATTGGTTGCTTTTAGCTTTTCTTTTTTATTAACTCTGTTGGCTGCTTACTGCTCTACAATACGCGTTTTTTTATTCGCAGGCACACATTCACTAAAAAGAACCACTGATAAGCTGAAAGCCTTCCTTTGAATATTTCAGTTATTTCACATGGAATGCGAGATTCGGTTGTCTACATCTTCTTTAGTTAATCTTGCGAGTGGTTTTAAATATACATGAGTTGCGGTTTGAATATTCCTACCTCTGTATGGGGTTTTCTTGAAGTAGTATCTGTCACTGTTCTTGATAAAATCGTCTGGTCTGGCCTCTTTGGTTCTGGTATTCAACTCACATATGTCTTGGGATATGATGTAGTTATAGCTCTGACATCTGACATCAGAGTCACAGGCCTGCTTACAATCGAGCGGCGAGCCTGGCCTGGCCTTGATTCTCGTATAGGTGTGTCCTTTGAGCATCATTTGATAAATGGAGTAGCTGCTTGTACCACAGTGTTCAGCAACAAATTCGTGGAACATCAAACAAGTTATAGAGACAACGAAAACAGGTTGACCAGCCATTGGACATGTCATTGGTGATGAAGGCACTGAGATACTTGGGTCTTCTCCAGATTAGATTGACTCAAGACAACTAAGCTGTCGTTCATACAGAAAAACATATGAAACTGATAAAAACTAAATATATATTGTGTTCCAACTTTATGGGTGCTTCCCTCTATAAGTGAGCGTGTCTTTACCATAGTCAACCTGAAGTAATAACTAACTCAATGTAAAGAAAAGGGTACAAGGTAGACCTAGATACTGGAAGTCAGTTTTAAATTGAACTAATCCGTACGGAAAGCAACACTTTGCCACGCTACAGTGGATTAAAAAGCATACTTACAAAAAAGAATACCTACATGACTTTTGACCTTAAGCCCGCGTACAAGAAAACCTTTTTTCTTCTGCAAAGGATTCAAGAACGATCAGGCTGTGTGAGATTTTAGTTAAAACTGCAAATCTTTAGAATGTCGCTCACTAAGAGTTAATTCTGTGCACTAAAAACCTTTGTTCAGTAAACAATGTAAGTAAATAGTTATCGTAATTATGAGAAATTTGAACAAGTATAGAGAATCGGGCCTCTAATGACGTTCCAAAATTAATCAATTAAACGTAATCTCGTCAGCTGTTCAAAGTAATCCAAGTAAAAACCGCAATTGATTTTGATGAGAAATTCGCAAAAACAAACAATATTACAATACTTATTCATTACTAAAATTTAAATTACTTTGTTTGAACAATGTCTTTCAAGAATGTTTCCTTAAAATAATTGCTATCACAATTTGCGAGCTAGAAATAAATTCTACCTTTAACAAAGGCTTATAAACAGTAATTGCAGAGAGTTGATGAGAATTTATCATTATTGTCCAATTGAATGTAAGCCATTAGAGGGTGTATAAATTTGTTAAAACTTAGTTACTTAACTCTTAGGAGCAATTTTGAAATGGACAGGTGGTATTAGAATATTTGTAAGTGTATCTTCAAATGTCCTTGGCTTAAGACTGAAATTAGGCTCTACCTTCATTTCGCTTGGTTGCAAAACTTATAGGAGCTGTTAAAAGTTCGTCTAATGTCAGGTTTCATGTTTCAATTGCCGCAACTCTACGTATAAGGCAAGGCAAACAGAGCAACCTCGTCCCCAGGGCGCTTTTCAAAGCCAGGGAAAAGCGCCCTGGGGACGAGGTTGTAAACAAAGGACATATTTGCATTAAGAAAACAGAGGTCGATAATAAACTGTTTTGATGAATTGGCAGTTCTCTATACTATCTAGGGTTTTTGTTTTTATCTCGGAGATCGGGGCAGGTTACCACGAACGGTTCCAAAAACCTGGCCGGCCCAATTTAATTTTAATAAAAATAAAATTTATCGACAAAACCGAAAAAAAGAAGGAGAGAAGCAAAGAAAAGATAACGCAGTTGGTTTGAGCAGGCCACACAGACCGGGTTAGAGAGCATAGAATTTAAAAATGAACCTAGATGAAGCAAGTTTGTCGGTGTGTTTACAAATTAAACGTGAAGGTTACTTTACAGAGGCTTTTTAAAATAGGTCCTGTGCTTTTAGCACCCAATCAAAGGACCACAATACCAACCGGATATCCCTATATCCAAGGACTGTACGCGACACGCACCCATCACCCATCTGATTCTTAAAAATCTCGATACATTTTTTGCGGGCAAACACAGGACACCCAATACCGTATCAGTACACAACATTGCGAGTGCGTTATCTGTCGTTGAATGCTAAAAGAAAGCTTAAGCACAAGCCGCAGCGTTTCTGTACTGACTACGAGTAGTCCCCCATTTTTCCTCAGGGATAGTAGAACGGGCGAAACGCGAGTGCGCGTGAAAATCACCCCACACGAGAAGGCGACACTGAGGAAAAATAGGGGACTACTCGAAGTCTAGCATTTCTGAGGCCCTTCTGCTTCTTATATTACAACTCAGTAGGTAGCCTGCTCCAGGCATTACGGATCAGAAATAGCCTCCCACGTAGGCGTTTTTAAGGGACCTCCCTCGTATTTCGTCCTACACGAGCTCCCCATAAAAACGCCTGCATGGGAGTCTAGCCGCGAAGAGATGCGAGTGGAAAATAGAGGTGGCGAAAATGTCTCTTAAAAAGTAAATTCACGCTGTTTAAAAATTCTTCATCATTCAAATTCAAGTTTGTGCCCTCCACCATACAAACGTCTGTAAAACTTCGCGACTGTGAAGAGCTATATCTTCATTAGTTTTCAACAAATCACTTTCAAACTCTGCAATTTTACTCATTTTAAGGCGCTCTTTTCAGCTGTGTCGAAGCAAGCAAGACTCGTGATTCTTATCATGATGTACGAAATATCAAATTGTGCGTCACAAGTATCCAGCATCATAAAAAAAGGAAACGAATCATGCTGTTGAACAGGAGAGTTGAATTTACGACGATTTGCTTGTTGTTTTTTATCTCATCATCGAAGTTTTGCTCATTCTTCCTTTTTTCAGCGTCTGATGCATTCACTTCTTTCAAAGTTATCAACGCTTTCAAACGACAAAATTCGTGGAACGACCCATTCCCATCCCGAAAACGCTCGACATCTTTTAGTGTGGGCGTACCACGAATGGTGTGTGGATTTGTAAGCGACATCAACTTATAATCCATTAATCTTTCCAAAATTTTCTTCTCAAAACATTACATTCTGACAATTGTACGTTGTTTTTCAAAGCGTGCGGATGAGGGCATCGAGTCGTTTTTCATCCCCAGATTCTGCGCTGCCATGACCCGCAACACGTGTTTACAAAACTATTCTTTCGTCACGTTCAGTTGTGTTTAATTTCGCACGTGAAGTTCAGAACCGAATTCCCATAAGATCTTCCATAAAATCAACTTTAAAAGTAGCTCTCTAGAGAGAGCACGTGTTTACAGTTTTAACTTTTTGTTATGTCTGTTTTGCACTTGCGATTTTATCGGCTTGCTATGCCATATAAGCATGAAACGTAAACGTGTTTTGTTGAAAAAGATAAAGTGTGATTTCTTGCATGGAAGAAAAAATTTTGTCATAGCACTAAAACGTGATAAACACAGGAGCTGATAAACATTATTCAAATAACCGCATGCTCATCACGAGCCTCATTTGCATATTATAAAAATCGTCTTGATTCTTATCCCCAGTTTCCACGGTCTCCGGTAGGAACGCGTGGCCTACAAACTAGGTCCCACCGACCAATAAAAAACGAGAACCGCCTGCATTTTTAGAGTCTCGCTCAGCGAACCTCAGCCGGAAGACCACGGAAGTTAAATCGGAATGAAAAAGGTTGGTTGGTCTTGGTTCTGCTTTATGGTGGACATATTTTGTCATTTTTCCATGTTTCTTGATAAAATTCTCATGAAAGGCTTGTTCTTTTGCGCGTGTACATGAGTAAAGCTTTTTCCATGCCAGCTTATGGCCATCCGTTCAAACGGGCATGATCGTACAAAACTGCTGTTTCCGCCCTAACAGACCCTCTATAATGTGTCTAACTTATACAAACTACTTACGGAAAGTTTTCTGCATATAATAGCCCTATATATTTATCGTGCCAACAGCAATCTACTATTTCACACATCTTTCTTAGTTTAATAAGTAAATGTGTATTAAGTGGGGGACAGGGGGGTGGGGGCAGGACGGATAGAGAAAAGAGCGGACGGTGGGTTTTCTTAAAGGGCAGAAAGCGGGAGGAATAGAGGTAATCAACAGAAAACTGCTTAATATTTTGCAATCAATGGAGGGCTGAAGAGGGGAAGTCAATAAAAAGCGAGATACAGGAGGTAGGTGGTTTGGATCCCCCTGTCCCCCCTCCCACCCACCCCTTCCTCACAATTAAGACTGAAACATGTATAAAAAATGAAGAGTGTGGAAATCTTGCCACTGGTAAAAGAATAAAGGAAAGAAAGAAAGGAAGTTATGGCAGTCAAAGTCAAGGTGTCTCGACTAGTTTTAGTGAGTGAGTTTATGCGAGTTGTTATCTGAGATTTTTGACAGTACTTCTTTCTTCCCCATTTAGATAAAAGGATTAATTGCTGCCCCGCTTGCTCCATTTGATGAAAAGGGGTAGGTTGATACACTACCTCCAAATGTATTTTATTGAGGGGACAAGCTGTTACGTTTATGTGAGGGGAAATCTCTATTCGTCATAATCTCATTGGCTTCTCAGAGATTTCCCCACCACAGTCACTCCTTCCCAGCTGCATACTAATTTTAATTTAATGTTACTTACCTATTTATTATATTTTTTATTCTACTTACCGGTATTGTAATTTATTCTGTGTGGCAAAATAATAAAATTAATAAAATTAATTAATTAATTAAATCGTTTATTGACCAGACAGTTTGATAATGACTTCTTATGCAGTAAGTAATAAGTAAAGATTACGAAGTGTATTCAGTTGATCTTGATCCAAGGCTCTCTCTCCTTCGGCAAGGTGGTGATAATGTCTTTTCTCACCCCTCCAATATCCACAGGAATACTCCAATTAATGTCTCATACAATCTCTCTCCAATTACAGTGCATGCTATAATGTCAAAGGCAGTAAGATATAACATTTCTAGCATCTCAATAATTACTATTTTAGTCAATATTTGACTCTAGCAGGTAATGCAGGAGCATATATTAAACAAGGCAGAATATTTTGTGGCAGACTTTTATTGCTACACTTGGAACTTTTGATGAGCAGTCCAGTGGACATTTTCATTGTTTATAGCATTCATAAGGAGACATTAGCGTAAAAACCTTCATTAGCCCATTTTTTATGACAAACGTATGGCATACATTTCTCCACAGGGAACTTAATTTATCATTGGTAGATGATTATGTAAGCCACCTTGAAAATGAGAATATCAAAGGAGTATTTGGTAAGAATATTTAATGAGGTTGACTTTTTTTTGAATGACAGAAAATGTTAACAAACAATATTCTTAATACGATACAGAATTCAGTTGAGTTAGAGGTCATATTCTAGGACATTTAGCAGTAGTGGCAGATCCAGGGGGGAAGAGTCCAAGAGGTACCAATCCAATACATCCCCGTTAATGATAGCCCACTTTGTTAATCCTGACATTGAGCACTTTTTTTGAGTCTCAGAGTATCACTTTGTATGCTTGTCATCCTCTTCGAACCTTGAATTTTTTACCCGTAGGTCTCAGATTTTTAGACAAAGGTCTCTATGTCTCAGGAAGCCAGCGATTTTACCAATGGTTATCAGCCCTGGATCAATAAGGAGTGACTGCTGCAAGAATTCCAGTGGATGAGCACCCAAGGAATCCCCTTGGATCTGTCAGCAGGGAGATTTATGGCAACAATGATGGCGACGGCAGCGAGAATGTCAAAATGCAATAGGTTTGATTGGCAAAAGAACAACTTTTTGCATGTGCAGCACACTTTTTTGTACATTTCTTTGCTGTCACTGCATGGCTATGGCTTGAGAATCCCCAATTTCATGCTTTATGGAGGACGTAAACAAGCAACAAGGAATTTTTCTTTTTCTTTCAAAACTTGAGTGTGGTCCCCAAGAAATCAAATCCAGGGAGATTCGTCTACATTTGACATTTTCAGCAAATTGGAATAAGCGTGACAAAGTTTGCAAAATCTTAATTCATTTAAAAGTGACGTTTTTACTGCTGTTGCCATCGTCGATGCTAAAGCCCCCTACTGTGGGAGAGGGGAGGGCGCTAAATGAAAGTTTGCGAGGGCAGAGAAGCTGGCATTCAAAGGTGTCTCATGCACATCACTGTTAAGAAGACAATAGGTTGGCTTGTGTACAGAAGACCACGAGAACTCAGCGTTGGGCATGTAGATATAACAATACTGGAAAAAATTGCTCACAGGGTCTTGATAAAAGTGCAATTTTGGCAGGATCAATGGATACATGGGTGACTGGGTGGATGGCACTGGGAGGTGGAATCTTTCCTTTTCTAACCACCTGTGGAAAAGTAAAAATGATTCAAATTGGAAGATATGAAAAATCAGAAGTAAAGTGACTCATGAAGGGAAGATGATTTTTGTGTTATGGGTGATTTTCCAAAAACTGAAGGTTTGAGCAATGTGGATTGTACTGTACGTTATTAAAAGAGATGACGCCACTCAACAGTGGAAGGCATCTCGGCCCTTATTTACAGCAATTCTAATTTTAATTAATATTTTTAACATTTTCCAACTTATTTAAGTATATAGAGTGTAATTTCTGCTACTGGCTTTTTACATTGATATGACATTTAAATACTTCATGTATATTGGAACCTCTCCTTTGGGACACCTCCATTCAGGGGATACAAAATTTGGTCCCCAGAAAAATATCCACATATATACCTCTATTGGAAGGACACCTCTTATTCAGTGGAAGGGGAAATGTTTTCAGAGTCCCAATTGGGTTTGACCTCCATTCAGGGGACACGTCCTTAGCACTCAAAATGTGACTGACCACATTTAAAGAGGGTTGACATCTTTAAGTGTGCACACCATGATGGCAGCTTTCACAACTGAACTATATCACTTAAATTGATGTACATCACTTGTGTGAATTCAGCAGATAATGTCATAGAGATAATTAGTTGATGATGATTTTTATATATATGTATATATTATTGTCTTTGTTTAGCCTGCGTAGCAGGCGTCGAAAGGGGTAGGGGGTAGGGGATAGGGAGGAAGGGAAAGAGGGGAGGGGGATTGGGGAGAGGGGGAGGGGACGCCTGCTCTAAGAACCCCCTTTTGTTCATATCTGCAGACGCTGGCGTCCGCAAGTTCCTGATTGGCTGAGCCGTAATGAGTAACATATTGAAATGTGCGTTTCACAAATCAACAAACAATCGAGATGGCAGCGGTAGACGTGGATGTCGTAGAGAGTGCTTTGAGAGATGTGAATTTATCTAGTGGTAGAGAAACTGTTTTAAAACCAGAGCAAGAATCAGCAGTAAGGGCTCTTTTAGCCAACAGAGATGTTCTGGCGGTTTTGTGGACCGGATACGGCAAGAGTTTAATTTACCAAATGTTTGCGCGAAGAACTACGAGCTAAATGGTAAAGCGGCGATTCTCGTCATTTCGCCACTGAAAAGTATTATCGAAGACCGGTTGCAGGAGATGGAATTGTTGGGCTGCCCAGCGAAAGATTTAGCCAATTTATCGAACGTTGACATTCGCCGATGTAACTTAGCAATAAAAGAGGGTGGTTTTACCTCATGCCAAAATGCTGCTTATTCCAATAGAGTTGTTTTTATCTGCTGGTAGATTATGCTCTGGAAGGTTCTGCATTTATACTGAGCAAATCTTATTTTAGCCACATGTTTCACACTGAGAGGTTATGACATACATATCGATTGACTGTAGTTATTGTTTTCTGGTCGGCAGAATTTGCCCTCTGATGCAAGCGCAATTTCTTTGACCTCTTTTGAAGCGTAAAGCTTTTTTTATTATGTCTGAATAAGGGTTCCAATTTTCTCCAAAGTGCCTTCTGGATCTGAATAACTAAGCGAATTTCTTTAGTCCGTGAGTGTAATGTTTTTCTGCAATGGCGAGTGTAGCGACACTTGATTGACAGTAAGCGTAATCAGATTACTAGAACATTGGTAGTAGGCATTATGCAAAAACATAGGCTCTTAGAGCAGGCGCTCCCTTCCCTTTTCCCTTTCTCCCTCCCCCCTCCCCCTCCCCTTTTTGCGCCTGCCACGCAGGCTATCTTTGTTGGTTGATTCTTAACAAACCCCAGCCCAACCTATATTCAATGGTCAAATGCAAGCTTCTATTCAAGGGAGACTTGCCTTGGTGCCAACAGTGTCCCTTGAAATGGAGGTTCCACTGTATGTATAGGTAACATGACCGTCACTGTAATTTACGCTTTTAGTTAATGGTACTTTTGGTGAGGGCATTTTACTGACAACTGATGAGAGAAAGAAGCTTGCTGAAAAGTGGATACAAGCATCAAAAGAAAGGTGAAAATTATTGTTGTTCAGAATATAATAAACATGAATGTAGGAATATACCTAAGCCCCTTTTACAGTCAAACCCTGTTAATACCGACACCCTATATATACTGCTGTTGAATTTGTCTGTTAATTAACAGGGTGTCCAAATGAACTTGTGGGTTGAATTATTTTGGAGAAAATGTAAGAGCTTTCTTTCACCAGAGACAAAACAAAGTGTCTGTGAGAATGAGGTGTTTGTATTAAGTGGGTGTCCGTAAAGCGTGGTTTGACAGTATCAATAGGTAATACAATATCAGGAAAGCTTTTGTTTACACCTACTGTATTTGCACTTTGATATTGTTCTTAATTTTTAACTTGTCAACCCTAGCATATAGTTCAGTTAATCAAAAAGATCAGCCTGGATCAATTTTCATCTCTCCATTTATGTCCATGGATTCTGGATTCTAACAGGGGCTGGAGGGCTATATGGATGGAATCCTTGAAATTGATTCCAGATTGCAGATTCCAATCTTGTACTCTGCATGCAAAAATTCATTGATATTATTGACACCCATTTTTTTTAATCAAAACAAAGCATCCCCATGCAAAGGAGCCTGCCAGCTAATAAAGTCAGTGAGTTGACATTGCGCCGATCGTCATCATTGTCTCCTATACCAATAGGGTATTTAACAGTTATTCCACGAGTGCACATTGGATTTGAGATGGTAGATAGCCAGCGAGGCACTTAGTGCTGAGTTAGCTATTATCATCTCATATCCAACAAGTGCGAAAGGGACGACTGATAGTGGTTACCATATTTGGAGAGCCTGGTATAATGGTACATGTACCATGATGGCTAAGCCAATCAGAGCTCTAGAATTGCATTATCCAGTGATTCAGTTTTTAATGCTAATTATTATTTCTCACCACAGGTAACCCAGGATCTGTGATAGTGCCACAGTAAGATTCCTGTAAAACTACAGTGTCGGTTATCGGGTAAAGTTGCAATCCTAAAATTGGTAGGAAATACCAAATTCAAATTCTCCCTCCATACAATAAAATGGACAAAGTAGGTGGCAAGAGATGAAATCTCAGCTGCCATCGCTCCCTTTCCAACACCACTTTTTTCATGAAATTCGAAATCCAACGGTTCATAAACGCGCTAGGCCCGTAGAAATAGGACTGCCCCAGATGTGTAAACCAATGAAACTTCCCCAGCAAGCAAACTGGAAGAAGAGAATCCAAAAATGACCGATTCGACTTGCTCCAAAGAAGACCAGTGTAAAAAATCAACCCCACCCTGGGGTCCCTGAGTGGCTTACTGGAAGTTACTGGTAGCATTTCCTTGAGAGATATTGTTTACATTTGCTAAAAATAATGAAAAAAATAAACATATAGCAGCTGATGTCTAAATTTTGTAAGTTTTAAACTCTGACACGAAAAAATCCAACGTTTCCCATTTTTACAAAAATGGTCAAAACAGAAAGCTTAATAGACCACGAAAGACTGACGACACAGCGACCACAAGAACAACAAAAAGCATTAGTTAGATTAGCAAAGCATCAATTTGGAATATGCATCATGGAAAAAGTGGTGTCGGAAAGGGAGCGATAGCGGCTGAGCTGTTATCACTTGCCACTTATATCACCTTGTCTATTTTATTGTATGGAGGAAGAATTAAACATATTATCAAGAGCCTTCGTGTCAGCATTAAGGATGAGAACAACTACCTGCACAGTAAGTTTCATTGACTTTTACTTATGTATTTCCTACAAATTTAACAATCGTAACTTTACCCCAAACAAACACTGTAATACTGTGGTACTATCACTGAGCCTGGGTTACCTGTGATACTAATAAACCAATCAGAACACAAGGCGCTGAATATTTGGTTCTGCTTAAGCACATGCCGGCTAGAAGAAAACTGGACCGAATTAACTTTCGCAAAGCCTTCTGGGATTGTTAAGAGGGACAGGAAAAAAGGATAGCCAATAGAGACCTTATGATCGAGGTTTGGCCATCTTATCGCAAACGGTGGTTTGCGGTTAGGGTCTATCCATATTTGGAACTTAAGATTCGCGGGTGGTAGCTCGCGGCTTCCATGTTTGTTTATATTTCATTGATTTGTTGACTTCTAGTTTATATGAGAAATCGTCTTCAAAATTACGTTTCGATGAAAACGAATTCGATCATAAATAAGCAAAAGAGTTGTAAAAAGTAGCATATCCTCTCAAACATGGGATTGTGATGTTTTAGAATGCAAAAATGCCTGCGGTAAGTCACTTACCTCTAGAGCGTTAGTCTAGCCGTAAAATCATGAACCGCAAACTGCAAACCAGACGGCAAAGGTTCTCTGCACGTGACTTCTTGTCATTCGCGGTTTGCGGGAACTGCTCAGAAACCTCGATCTTAAGGTCTCTTATAGCTGACATAGCTGACCGGCGCCCCCCGAGGGGGGGGGGACTCCGCATATGAAAGGGGTGGGGATGCTCGTCGTCTCGCTTGGGGGTGTAAATTTCGGATTTTGGTCTCACTTAGGGTGCTCTAGGCAAAACGCCATCATATTTAGCCGTGAAGGTCTCCTTTAGGGTTGCAAGCGACAAAATATTAAAATATATATATTGTCTGTGTTTTAACAAGGTCTCTTTTAGGGGTCAAAAAAAGCTTGGGCCACGCCCAGATCGGTCTCCTTTAGGGGTTTAATTCAAAATTTCCGACGAGCATCCCCACCCCATTCATATGCAGAGTTCCCCCCGGGCCCGGCGCGTCCCTAGTAACGATCCCAGAAGCAATTGCGGAACGCAAGTTGGGTCCAGTTCCCTTCTAGTTTCTAATGTGTCGAATGCCCAGCAACGTAAAACTTATAAATAAAGAAATAACAGAATATGAGATGATCAAATTAAAGACTGACCTAAATAGCTTAAGTTTTTTCCCTATCCAGGCTTGATCCAGTTATAATACACATTGGATGCCCTAACTTAAAGGATTCTCAAGAACTGGTTAGTATAGTTGTGCAAAAAATATTTTATTGTTGTTGCGGCGGAAAAACCTCTAGTCTACATCCCTGATGAAATCGAACCCTGGTTGGTAACGTCTGCGAAGCAGTGCCGGTGCCCTTGTAATGGGCCCAGCAGATTTAACGAATTACTGGAAATGCGCGGTTTCGAATAGGCCGAGTTCCAATAACCCTCACTTTCAAAATAAAGCTAGGTGCACACCTTTCTTGTGAAAATGAGTTTCATTTGCATGAGAATGAAAAGTGATTTCCATATCAAAGGCTGAGCACCTACCCTCGTTGTGAAACAGAGGCCCGGGGGAACTCGGAAATGGCCTATTTCCCTTCAACCTGATTGGCAAAGCAACAATGGGCCAATCATGGCGCGTACTCAAATCCTGGTACACGTGTGAGGGTCGAAAAGAAGGATTTTGGCGCTGTTTCGAAGACGGACTTAACCAGGCCCCAGTTGCTCAGTGGATAACGCAATCGCTTTCCCTAATACTTATCTGTTGGATAGAGATTTACCCAGTGGAAGGTGCTATGTAACGTTCGAACAATCGAGGCCAGAAATTTAGTTCCAGCTGTTGCGGTTGAGAAGCCTGATGATAAATATGTTAGACTTAAGATCGGGTGGTCAGGAATCAAGCCTATGGCTGTATCGAACAGCTTGTTTTCTTCCTAGGTGGTGTACTCCTAGAAATTATTCATGGAAGTGTACCGCCCGGTTCTCCGAATTCTGAACCTATTTTAGGGGAAAAAAACGAACATGTTCCTTTCCACATCGGTTTTCAGTCCTGGCCTCGAAAATCCACACTCGTTTTCAGACCTGGCCTCAAGGACTTGTGCATAGTTTGCCAACCCAATGGGGAACTTAAGCAACGAAGACGGCGACGGCAACGAGAACGGCAAAAAAGCAATAGAGTTTTATCACCAAAACAACAACTTTGCACGTGCATCACGCTTTTTTGTACATTTCTTTGCGGTCGTTGCACGACTACGCCGTGAAACTTGCCAATTTCACGTTTCGTGGAAGACGCGAACGCGCAAAAACGATTTTCGTTTTCTTTTTCTAAACTTAGATGCCAGAAGAATCTTCTAACATTTGATGAAATGAACGAGAAGGAACAAGAGAGATGAAGTGTAAGACAGCATGAAGTTTTCTTTCTCTATTTAAACTTGAGTTCGGTACCTGATGAATCAACTCCAGGGAAATACACCTCCATTTGACATTTTCGGCGATTGGAATAAACGCGACAAAGTTTGAAAAAACGAGAATTCATTTTAAAAGTGACGTTTTCGCTGCCATCGCCGTCGTCGATGCTAAAGCTCCCTAATAACTTAAGCTCCCACCTTATGTAAGCGCAACCGTACTATTTGAGCATTTCTTAGTATTTTATAGTATCATTTGACACTAAACGTTCTTATGCATTTGGACGCCCCCATATGGTTCCCTTAAAAAAGCATACCCAATTTCATACAAAAACGGCTCAAACTCCATATCCATTGGGGCAGCACATGCCTATACAGCTACAGGGGAGTAAACCAACCGGGATTATCTTTGACAAAAAACGTCGGCTTAGGAGGCTACATTTCCCCTAGGGCGCCCGGTTTTCATAATGATACGAGCAAATTTTTCGAAATCTTCCCAAGCCAAAAAAAGAGTATCTGGTGAATTTAGAGGAACTTTATTATTAAACTAGAGTGACTAGTTATTGTTGCTACAAGCCAAAGTTAGCTTCTTCTTTTGAAAGTGTTGCTTTATTCAGACCTAGCTAGACCTTTAAAGAATTTGTGTAATTACGAATACCGCCTCCTTTTAAGGCTAAACACGCTGAAAGTGCAGGGGCGACAGCCATTGGATTAATGCCTACGACCTACTACATTCCTAAAACCGTAGGTTTGTATTTTATCTTTCCGTTTCACTGTCAGAAACTGTTATGGCGTAGTGTGCTATTGTTCTCAGTAAGTTTTGAGCCCTTAGACGAAGACAATCTCTTAAAAATAGAAGGTTTTGAACAGGCTAATATCATACGGTGTGACCATTCAAATGAAACCTCTTCAGCAGTACTTTCACATGGTACTATCTATTTATTATGTAGTCTAACTTTTGAGTCTGTTGATGAAGTCCTATGGTGTTACCATTGAAATTAAACCTCTTCAGCAGTACTTTCACATGGAACTATTTGTTTTTAATTTGTATGTTGTCTAACTTTTGAGTCTCTCGGTCGAAATCCTATGGTGTGATCATTCAAATTAAACCTCTTTAACAGTATTTTCACAAGGTGCTATTTATTTAGTGTGTAGTTCCAACTAGTGTGTCTTTGGACGAAATCCTATGGTGTGATCATTCGTGACAAATGACACCGCTTTTCAGCTGTACTTATTGTTATGTGACTACAATGTTGATCATCCCTTACAAGAGCGCCGACTAGCATACCGGGTTTGGCCAAGTAGAGTTGTCTGCTTACGAAAGTTTCCATAAAGATTAGACAGCTTCGACGGCTGATTTATATACTGTTTAAAAAAACGAGCAGGAGTGTATTATCAGGTTAAAAACCTCGCGGCAAAGCCCAGAGTTTTCACACCTGATAATACACGACTGCGAGTTTTTTGAACGACGTCAAAATCTCTGATGTAGATCAATTCATTCTCGCACCAATATCGATTTGGGGATATTTTGGTTTAAAAAAATTGGACGTAAAGTTTGACTGTGTCTTTCAGATATATATAAAGACACTCATTACATGCGTAAACATTAATTTCTTTTGTTTTTTCTTTATGAATTATTAATGATTTTTGGAATGCTTTATTTACTTGTATTTACTCATTTACTCGTACACGATTGCATTATCTTGTTTCCATTTTTCTTGCCTCCTCAGATGACCTTGTAGAATATGTTCTGCAGGTTGCCAACTGTGCGCCCAACACTCCTTTGTTTTACTATCATATTCCAGTGTGGAGCCATGTCACATGTAAGAAACGATAGCTGGGCTACGTTTTTACGTATACGTTAAACAACACTTAGCCTGTTCCAGGCGTTCAGATAGTAGAGCGCCGGAGAAAAATTCACGAAGGAAAAAAAAAACGTTTTCCCGGTGTACAACTTGACTCGCTCCCCACTTACCGCCGCCCTCTACTATCTGAACGCCTGGAACAGGCTAATCAACACTAAAAAAATAGCTTGCGTTTAGACACCAACTGGGCCAGGTTCCTGAAACGCTGATTAGCGCTAATCCAGGCTTAAATTTTGTTCTGTTTTCGTATTAACCTTCCTATGTATTGCTTAGAGTAACATTTTGCGTGTGTTATCATTACCGTATCCTAGAGTGAAGGCTCAGCAGTATTTTGGAAGCTCGTGTTTGCATGTTCTTAGACAAGAATACCTTGATTAAAATTAAGCTTAATTCTGGGTTAAACTTAACCATCTTTCGAGGATCCGGGCCCTGCGCTAACCCGGGTTTTAATTTTATCTGCCGTGGGTTTCTTTTCTGCTGTTGTTACGTTGTTGCTCGCAAGCATTTTATCGGGTGATTTTCTCTATTCTTTATAGAGCATCCAATCATCAAATTGTAGACCAAATGAATTAACCTGAATTGGCTTTTCAGTCTGATTTCAAATTTGGCGCTAACCTTGGACAAGAGCCATAATAGGACTGCCTTGGATTATTAGCTGTTAACCCAGCTTTGAGCAACTCGGCCCAGCGCTTCCCACATAGCTGGCGGCCTCCTTGAGCAGCTTGGAAGCGCGTTTGTCGAAAATGAAATTTCCCTCACCGTACTCCATCAAAATCATGTCAAGCTACACAGGCTAGCAGAGCTTACAAAAGTATACGTCTGTGGGTGTCCACACAAGAAAACGTAGAGTAAAAGTGTCGGCTTTATACAGATCTATTCTCTTCGGAGACCTTTTAAATTCACTTGCGCCAAGGAAGGCCTAATAAATAAATACGGGGGAAACGTGTATCGGCGTCGGCTTTGTCAGCTCAGGTAACCGCGAGAACGAACCGGATAAAGAAGACACACATTTTCCACGAGGCTGAGGTTTATTGTGCCATCTCTTTCAGCGATCCTGATTGTAGGACGTTTTGGGTCGGGCGACGATATCGCTCTCTGAGAGTAGGACGCAGCTTTTAAAATTTGTGGAAGTTGCATTTTAAGGTGGTCCGTACTCCCCCCGGACACACTCCCTACATCCACCACTGAGATCTCCTCGGTGTTGAATTCTGAGCGCTCTGTAAGATAAGTCTGCTTACGACTTTGCCGCTGATTATTTTTTGCTTCGCAGTTTTAATGGAAGACTTCCTAAAAGCCGCAATCTTAAGGATTCCAACTTTAGCGGGAGTGAAGTTCACGAGTACAGACATGTTTGACTTGGGCCGTTGTCTTGTCCTCTCTGCTCTTGATGAAAGAATTCAAATTCTCTTTGGCAGTGATGAGGTTTGTCTAGTGTGTTTAGGCATGCTAATTAAGCGCTAAACTCTCTTAACTTACCACAGGGAGCCCAGACTCGTAGCAATCGAAGCCAAATGATAAACGGTTAAAAGATACATTCATAAAAGGATGTCTCTGTTATCTTCTTACTTTTTCCGGAAGACAACAACTAATCGGTTTTCTAGTCCTGGGTGGGTGCTAATCATGTCAAGTCATGCTATGATGTGGAGTAAAGAATCAAAAACTACGGTGCAGCTTAAAGTTTTGTTTCTGTTTCATTTAGATTCTCATAAGTGCTTTGGCAATGGGTGCCTGTGCCAGTGTCGGAGGGTAAGTCAATCGTTTCTCTTCCAAATCCCTCCCCTCTGACTCACTTGTTTTCTCGCTCATACTTGTTCCCAATGCTCAGTCCGTCAAGGCAGTGACTTCTACCACAGGGTCCCCAGAGGAGTTCAGTTTGTCTATGAACATCCAAAACTTTAAAAACTACCTCTTGTGAAAACCCATTCGCAATGGCTATGTTTATCACGCAGTCATTGCGTTTCATTTCCATATATACGGGAAACCTAAAGGACTGAATACACCAAGATAGGTTTACACACTGTGCCTCGCTTTCCAAATGCGTCGCCCTTCTTTCCCACCGAGCGTTAGATAGTATTTTTCCAGGTTTATAACAGGATTGCATGACGGTTTAATCGATCAAAGAGTACGAATCGTATTATCTGTATCAACTGTAAAATTTAAATGCAATCAAGGACACAAATAACTCTTCTGCATCGTTTGCTTCTACCAAGAGAGGATAAAGCTTATAGGCTTCCGATGTAGAAGAGTCACAGGTCACCTTAAGTAGCGGATTTTCCAGAATCTTTGTATCCGAAGGAACCTTGCTTACGGGTTTTTGTTTGCAGTAGTCGTTTCTACTTAAGGCTTGTCTAAATTCTTTAAAGTTGTTGTTAATAAAAAAATGTGCCCACCGGGGAGAGTCTCTAAATGTAGAGGAGGTGGGTTTGTAGATCTTATTTTCCCAGCATTCCCGTTGACTCCTGGTCCCAATGGTTCTCTCTCCACGGCCTCTTTGTGTCGTGGGGAGGCTGGGGAGAGAGAAAAATAAAGCGCGGGGGACAGGATGGGAATTAGGGCAAAGAGAGGCCTCAAGCTCCCGCTTTTTCTCTCTTCCCATCGTCCCCCGCGCGCGTTTTATTTTTCCATTATTGCTATTCTAATTGGGATACCCAGTGGGAGCCTCTGCAGAGGAGAGAGCCAGTGGTTCAAAACCCATGAAAAGGCAAATCTCCGAGGATATTGCTGTTTCGTTTTCAGTTTTGTGCTAAAGTCATTATTTAGTGCTTCTACCCATACTCAAAATGCTCCTGTAGAGTTATGAAGAAGATATCTGCAAACAAATTTCACCAGGGAACAATAACCGTAATGTTTTGTGCAGGCATAGCATTGAAACTTGAAAACGTTGGCCCAACTTTTTTAACCAAACCTGGGGCCCTTTTCTCGAAAGTCCCGGTAACGTTTCGGGCCCGGAAAGCTGTTTTATGTTTGCCGTGTTTGTATTCAAGATCAAAGTTTTGTTTATTTTGAAAATGATTAAATGAAACTATCAGTTAACGAAACGATGCAAAATTGACAGGTTTGTGAGCTAGGAACTGTGCTACTATTCAACATGTTTTCATTTTGAATTTAGCCTTTCGACCCGAAAAGTTTTCGAGCCTTTCGAGAAACTGGCCCCTGGACCGTTCTTTTTAGAATTAAATTGATGCAAAGGCACATTTAAGCTTTCTAAAAGATCTCAAAAAGAGTAACATATTAAAAAGTGTAACATTCAAGGAACAATACATCTTTTTTGTTAACTTTTCAGAACTTATAACTTTGCTGGACGGCTACACAATCGTATTTTTGATGCTTTCAACAGGGGAGATATAGAAACTGCAAGGAAAGAACAGGTGACTAATGCTGACTGTCAATGAATTTCACCTTAGCGGAGTCTTTCTGTCAAACGTGATCACTGGGAGCCCAGACTCACAACAGCCTACTGGAAGCCAAATTATACAGCTATAGAAGTTTACTTGTAGATACCTCATAAAGATTTGTCTGTGTTGTTTTCTTACTGTTTCCTGCCCTATAGACGGCATTTAGCAAGTTGTAATGTTTTGGTTCCCCTAAAATGGCTTTTATAGGGCAGGAAACAATGAGAAAACAACAACTCTTCATGAGATATATATTATTTAACAGCCTTTTATATACATTTTAACCGTTTTATCGATCTTACGATAAATTCCCATACAAATCCTTATAATTTGGCTTCCAGTAGGCCGCTGTGAGTCTTGTATCACTGTGACGCAATGAGCAATTATTCTCTTTATCTTTTTAACAAAAGATTTTTAAGGATACTGTGAAAGCTAAAGAGACACGAAACTTTAACTGCCGTGATAAGTACACTCAACACCCGCGTATAAGAACCTAGAGAACTAACAACTTTAGAAATTAGAACCCATTATATAAGAACCTGAAATTTCTTGTAACCCGGTGGCCCACAAATGAGGAAAATGGGAAATAATTGAACTAAACATGACAACTTTTTCTTTTATTTTATTCCCCATCATGACTGGTGACCGAGAGGTCAGCTATAGGCCAATTTTTTTTCCCTGTCTGCCCTGGCTCCAGTAACAGTCCCATAAGTCTTTGCGAAACTTTACTCGGCAAAGTTTTCTTCCAATTTTTGAAGTGGCGTATTCACTTCTTTCACATAGACCATAATGCACCTTCTTTATTCCCGCCCCCCCTCCCCACCCCCCATCCCCCGCCCCCCAATATTGTATAATCGCTGTTTCCAATTTCTCCGGGGTATTACAGTCGTCCCAAGTGAAATCCAAGACAATGGTTATTCAAAATTTTGGGGGGTAAACACGGTGCATTATGGTCTATGTGAAAATGGTCAATGGGGTCAGTATTAAAGAGCTTCCACTTAACCGCTCTGATTTGAGTTTCTTTCTGTACTGCTGTGATCATTGTACCTGAAAGAGTAATCCAATGTCCAATCAGGAATGGAAAGAGATTAAGGTAGCGGGCGCTAAGCACGACTGAGAAAACGAGTGTTCAGTAGCAAGTCACATGGTTTGTTGAGTCACAAAGTTTCATTACGTTGCTAATCAAATGGTTTTCCATCCTTTGACATGCAGTACCGATCTCAAAGCATGGTGAAAATATACACGAAATACGGTAAGTGCCAAGGTCCTCGTGGCATGAAATGGCCGTTTTTGAGCCGGATTGTGCGCGCGTGCTCTGGCTCGGTGTCGAATTGTACTATGGGACTCTTCTGGGGGATAAATTTGTAACCAGTAAAACCCTTGAATGCAGAAGTCCACTCAACGCGTAAATAAAATCGACTGCTTCTTTCTTGTCCGATCTCTTATGTAGAGACGTTGAACTGTACCTTATCAATCACTTTATGGTGTAATAGTTTTGATCTATCATGCTATCTGTTGTTCTCATATTTAGTTTATCATTAACCTCTCATGCAAATTTAAAGTCAAATTTTAGAAGCCGTTATAGTATTCTTTTTCAGTGTAGCTCTGGCCCTAAGGAAGGCTAATTTTGTTCGCCGAAATATTGACCTCTAGTAAATCAGTCCTTTGCTGTATTGCCAGGCTTGCGTTCAGTTTTGTTTTTGTACCCACTCTTGAAATAGCCAACAAAGGAGGCCATAACTTCCCCACAACAGTTCCATATATGGACACTTCTATGGCCCAGTCCCAGCAGGCGCGGCACCCTCAAAATCGAAAGAAGTCTGGGAAGAGGGCGTGGTAACCATGGTTGTTTACCATTTACAAAAAGTTTCCGGAAAATGCGGTTGGAAAGTAAATGAAACACGACTTTTCGGGGCGTTTTGGTGGAAAATTTCCGGTAGCAACAGAATGTCTGAAAAGGTAGTCCTGTTTTTCCGGTCGGAATATTCCAAACGAAAATTCGTGTTCCATTTCTTCAAAGCCATCTTTGATACCAGTTTCAGGCCTCCGCGGCCGTTTTTCGATAAATGGAACTAATTTGTGCAAATGGTAAACGCGATTCCGGGACGTAATCAACCGGTTCTAAATTTTGCTTACCGTCTACCCAAATCGTGAACCGACCGGTTTGCTAGTGTAGATGGTAAGCAACCCATGTTTCACTTTACTATGGGCGAAGAATATCGTTCGTTATACCTTCGTCTGGCTCAGATGACCTACACAAAAATGGTGTCCTTAACTTAGCTCTTTCTTGCTAAATACACTGACACTTAATTTACGTACGGTAGTCGTTTATATACTGAGGTATTCGTTATATAGGGCTATTCGTCACATCGGGGTGTTTGTTTTATTGAGGTATTCGTCATACCGGGGTACTCGTTATACCGAGCCGACGTGTTCTGGGCTATTCGTCATACTTGGGTATTCGTTAGTATATCGTGATGTTCATTATACAGGGGTGTCCGTTATATGTAAGGGATATTTCTCGGCTGGTGTCATTTTTGATATTTGTCTTTACGTTCTTATTGATCCCTGGCATGGTTTATACGTTTCTGGGAAACTGCCCATCTATCTAAGCCAACATTTTGCCCTAAATGACAAGTGAGTGTTGATGTTGGCTTAGGGGAGGGGTAGGTGGGCAGTTTCCCATAAACGTATAGTGATCAGTCTTATCTGTGCTTCTAGGTGGGCATGCGGGTGTTGGAAAGGCTATCATGAGATTCCTAGGCTTGGATCTAGGTCCCTCTCGACCACCCCTTTCTCAGTTATCGGCGATGCAAGAAGCGGTCCTTAGAGAGGAGCTGGAAGAAATAGGTTTCTTCGCATGGAAATAAAATATGCACCTATTCCTGAGTTCTCCTCGAGAGTTGATGGCAAAGGAATTTTGTCTATAAAGAGGGTGTCCAGCGGCATGGCTGCTCAAAAAAATAGGAAAGTAGGAAACTCAGGATTGAGAAAATAGGAAAAATAGGAAACTTTTCATTAAAAAATAGGAGAAAAATAGGAAAATCAAAAGTACTTTTGTCGTGAAAGATAGCTTCCCTGCACCCCATAAGGGTTATAAAAAAGGCTACGAGTCTTCAGATTCTATGTTCACAGGATTTAGATCGACTTTCGCGGCTAAGAAGGAGTGAAAATGATCAGTAACGTTTAGTTTATTGGCTCAGTTACGCTGTATTAAATCAGAATGATACGATTGACTACAGGTAGAGCGTGGTTCTATAATCAAAGGTGATCATGCGGAAATTCCCTTCAAGTTGACGGCAAATCTTTCAAAAGCTTTAAAGATGATGATGATACCTTTATTAAAGTGTCAAAACTGTAATAGCGGTGTATAACCACTAAGTGGGGACACTAAAATAAATTTAAAAAGAATAAATCAATTAATAGATTAATTAAAATTAAGAAAAACTATGTACAGTAAAAGCAAGTGTGAAATTCGAGAGAACTATATACAATATGTACAAATGTATCATTATCTTATAAAAAATAAGAAATAAAACATTAAGAAGTGCAAAGAGAGCATTTAGAGCAGTTATTGTCATCTAATAACATGAAGAGTGAAATTTCTTAGGATAGAAATTTCTTACGATTGAGTTGTCACTGAAGGATATAGAAAAAAGTCCTATGGAAAGCTTTCCTTCCATTAATCTGCAATCGGTACCTGCTTGTTTGAGTCAAAAGACCGCATAATTTGAAGTACGGAACCGGGCTCTCTGCGGTGTATGCAAAATGACACTGATCTATTTTGTACCAGATTGTAAGTGTGTCATGGTTAAGTTCTAAGAAGAACATAACACTCTGCTTAGCTATGACTGTAAGACGGATTTTGCAACCAAAATATTGGATCCTTCACCAGTTGCTTAGGGACTGGTCAAAAAGTATAGGGGGGCCGGAGCAGAGAGGGGGTGGGTCATGAGGTTTTGAGCCTTGTGCAAGGGGTGGGTCGTGCAATTTTCAGCTACCCTTAGGGGGTGGGTCACCCTACTTTTTACTAACTACTAACGAGACAGTTGACTACACTTGTTATATAAAACACAGCCAAGTGGAATCATTGCTAAAATACTCACAAACCTGTTGTGCGAGAAAATACAAAGGTTGACAGGCCGCACATCTATACGGGCGTGGAACCCTCTGTGAACCGTTTTTCTTCTTTTTTGTAAGGAAATGATTGGTGGTTCTTTAAAAATTTATTGAATTTATAGTTGGTTTTGTATAAGATTCCATTTTTTCATTCAAGCTTCCTTTATAGTAGACACTGAGGGCTGGTATTGTGTCACGAATGGCAATATTTCTTTTTCCTCCTTGTTGTTTTTTTTTAAGGAGTTTAGACTCCCTTTTGTGAATTTTATTTCTGATAGTAGGTTTTCTATCAAAGATAGGGGGCACCCAACGAGAATATACTTCAAAACCAATTGAAACAGTAGATATAGGCATATTTTTATCCCCTACTGAATGTTCCATCTGTTCGAATCTCCTAGCTGAAAGTCTAGTGATACGAAAATTATAGGGATAAAAAATTTGGCAATTCTACCGTTTTTTTAGATGTTCGAAAATCCCAGGAGGGGCAGACAAACGAGAGGTTTTACAACAACTGTTCCGAAAATTCTAGATCTCAAATCGTCTTTCGAACAGATATTTTCCCAAAATTGACGTTGGGTGCCCCTGAAAGATTGTGGGTAGCCTCCGTCCATCAAGCGTTTTTTTTAAATTTGAATTATTTTCCTCAAAGGTTGTTTCTGAGGAGTTTTTTCGTAGGATTCTTAAGGCTTCTCCTTTGACAAATTCTTTTTTTAACATTTGGAGGGTGACACGAGGTGAAATGTGTGTGCAAGAAGCTTTCCGTTTGTTTAAAATGTGTTTTTGCATCAAGGATAGATTTTTCCTTGAATCTTGTGCCTTTGTATACAGCCGTGTCTAAAAACACAGTCTCAGTGTCAAATGTTTCGGCCGTGAATCCATTAGTTGGGTGATGTAAGCTTGCTTGTTCAATGAAGGCTTCGACGTCTGGTTTACTTATGTCCCATAGGGAAAAGATATCGTGTATGTGGCATTTCCAAACTGTTGTTCTAAAGACAGTTTCGCTTAGAGCTGTTGTTTCAATATATGTCATGAAAACATTGGCAAAGGAAACAAAACTGCTGTCTTTGTGCCCATTGTAGGTCCATGGTTTTGTAAGTAGTGCTTTCCACTGAAGTGGAGGAAATTTTCTTTGAGGATTAATCTAAGCATTTCCGGCAAGTAATGTGTAGGAATGGGTTGTCTTTGTTGAAATTTTCATATGCTTTGTGACAGAAAATTCAATATACCCTCGTTTTGCTGTATATTTGTGTCAAGACTCATATTTAAACGTCTATTGAAACAAGAAATGTTCGGTTTTTCACATTCGTCTTTTCAGTGAAAGGTATGATTTCTGTGATTTTGATATTGGCTGTAGCAGTGTATCAACAAATTTTGTCAAGCACAGAACAAGGTTTTAGTGGATTATTAACAGGAAACCGAACATCCATGTTTTAACTAGGGGGTGGGTCATGCAATTTCCAACCTTGCTTTAGGGGTGGGTCAGTCATTTTTGTGCCAAAGGGAGGGGGTGGGTCATGTGTTTTTTATCAACCACATTTCCAAATGCTCCGGCCCACCCCCCCCATACTTTTTGACCAGTCCCTTAGGTACTGCAAGGTGGTTCTTAGGTTTGAGTCTGTAGTGCCGTAAACTAAACTTTAGTCTGTTCTTTTCATGTAGCATCCAGAATCAGCTAGTGATTGGTTTTTTAAACAAGAAGCTGATTGGATGATTTATCTAGCCTTTGTTGTGAGAGGACAACTTGATCCTGTTTTCAGTTTCAAAGATGAACATAAAAGCGAGCAAGACTTCAAAATAAAATATAACATGTACAGATACTGAAATGCAGTTTCAGTGGGCTATGCAAAATATTTAACAATTATTCCTCGAGCCCGAATGGGCTCTGAGTCAATAGCGGCCGAATAGGCTATTGACTCAGAGGCCATGAGGGCGAGAGGAATAATTGTTTTAGTAAAATCCAACTAGTTGGTCAAAAATATCGAGAATAAAAAAATTTTACCTAGGTAAAGCTAGACTTTAATCCTTTTCTGCCGCCAAAAAGCCCACACTTTTCACTACTAGTGGGCTATAACATATAGCCTAGTAGTAGCTCAACCAATCAGAACGCTGCACTTATAATAGACCACTAGTTGGATTTTACTAATATTCAATTGTCATGATGACTATAACACTTCATAAAATACATGCAGGTGCACGAGAAAATTATACAAAAAGTAACAAAAAAAATGTTAGCAGAACTCTAATAGGCAATAGAGGTCATGGAAAGAACAAACATAACTGTCATTTTTACTAATATTAGAACATCAAAGTCAACAAGCTACTTGCTTTGTGATAAATTTCACTCAAAAACACATACAAGTATAATTCCATTTTCAATTTTGTAACAAATTTTGGCTTCACCAGCTAAAAAATAGGAAAAATAAGAGGTTTTAGTTTAAAAATAGCAGAAAATAGGAATAGCCTCAAAAAATAGGAAAAAATAGGAACTGGACACCCTGCTATAAATGATCATTGATACACTTTTTTTTTTTTTTAAATCCATCTCCATCTCTGAAAAAACAGGAACACGTATTAACAACTCTTCCGAGAACAACACTGAACAAACTGCTTCGGTTGAACATGTTTTATTAAACTGTAAGGATTGCTTTTCGCGTCTGGAATTAAATACATCCAAAATTTTAACATATTCCAAAAAAATTTACCAAAGTTGACAAAGTTCATTGATTACGTAACACGAACTAATTCTAGCAAATCTTTCTAGCGGGCAACCGTATGAATACTTAATACTCTTAATCGCTGACAACGAAAACCTTGAAAATTTATTATATTTGATCTAAGTTTAATGCTAATTATAGTACATGAAATAAAAATACTTCTCAAATCTTCTTGTCTTCATTTTCTTGGGTTTTCGTCGGGGTAACTTTTCTCTCTGACCGTTAATTCTCATGAGCTTACATTGACTTTCACCCACTTTCAATTAGTAACGAACTCATCGCCCTAGAAAATTTAATCTTAAAATTTGAAAATTATATTGGCGCGGTTTCCATTTGAGTTCCGTAAGACCAAACAAGTTGCTCATGCAAACTTTCAACGAATCACAGTCAGTTAGTTAGCACTCAAAATGACCAACCTCGTCCCCAAGGTCGTCACCTACTCGGCCCCACCTCTCTCTCTTGCTCCGGGGACCAAGTAGGAGAGGAACCTGGGAACGAGGTTAAAAAGTGACCACAGCCGGGAAAAAGCGCTCGACAATAACGAACGTCTTCTGCTTTCTTACTGGTTGTGAAAGTCCCGTGTTTTTTTTTTTTACCAATCATGAGGCTTTGCAGTACAAATCCAAAGTATGCGTCGGAGACTCGAATGAAAACCGCTTTATGGTCATTGTGAAGGCTCACATGGTAAAGTGCCTTGTATAGTCGTACTCTATCGTTGGTATAACAGCTTGAACAAATTTGAGAAAGATAAGTAAATACCTGGAAGAAAAAGTTAAGGAAAACACTGGGATAAAAGCTTAATTAAGTGGATTAAACAGTTTTATCTAGGTGGCGTGGGGCGTCCGTTGTTATCGTATAAATTAGGTCTCCGGGAGTGCTGTGAACTATAAGGCCTTCTCCACTATCCTCAGAAATGTTCGGGGAAATCCTTGCAGGACAGATGGAAGACTTAAATTTATTCGCACTTTCATGCCTGTTCATGAGAGTAAGAACTTAAAGATATTCTCTTTAGCGCGTTTCGAGTTTCACGGAACAACACTGACAACGGCAAAATAAGCTCCATTACCCTTCTACTGGGGAGTTTTATAAGGTCATGATGATCGACCCTCCTCCCTCCCGTGTGCGTCAATGTTTCATCTTCGGTTTTACCTCACACATTCTAAAAATCAGACAACAGACAACAGTCTTAACTTAGAGGATACATATGAACACCAAGCTCTCCACCACCATCAGCTACAGTTTGAATAATCTTCTTCATTACGTCTGCATGCCTGTCCAAAGAAAAACAACAACAAAACCACATGGCTTCAAAGAAAACGTCAAAACGTTCACACTTATTATACCGGGAATAGGAAAAATGGCCTTGCTTTTCAACGAAAATTGTTTAACGGCAGAAGTCTCAGTAGACATATAGGGTTATCAAGCCCTAGGCCTGGGTCCAAAGGTTTTTATTTTATTCTTGTACAACCCATAATGCTTCCACGTCGGTACGAACTCAAGCAATGAAATTGCACAAACAGTTTTACCACTTCAAGTATAGTTTGCGCGTGGACGAAAACATTTGGGGTGAATATTATTCGTTCTTTAAGCCAAGTACGTGAAATTATTTACACCTCAACTGCATAAACTTGTATCGAAACCACTTTGTATCGAAACGAACGGTAACCCTTTTATAGGCATGCGTTTCTTCGTGTTTAACAAAATGTTGTACCATTTGATCTCAGTTTCATTCTACGTTGAATGTACTCATCACATTTGCCTTCATTTCATTCCAAGCTAAAGGCAATTGTGTTGATGATACAATTCTAGTTAGACACCAGCAATAGAGGTGAATAAAACGTCCGCACACAGGCCACCCAACATGTAAACAATAGATTGTTATCGTTCATTTTAATTTTTTATTCAGACTTTCTTCCAGTTAAGGTGCTTCCATGGTGCAAGTAAGTCAGTGTGTTGCTTTGCTCTAGTCCTACGTACTCGCGAGATGCGAATTTCTGTGGCAACTCCAAAACCCGCGACCTGCTCGCCCCGTGAGTCACCCATACATGTAGCTCAGACTCATTATCATGGAAAAATAAAATTTGAACCAAGAATAAAACTGAACCACAATATATAATTAAATCATGTTTAAGCCTTTCTCTCCCCGGATGAATGATGGAGTTTTTTGGGTTGGCTTGAAGTTTTGAGTCTATGGACGAAATTCTATGGTGCGACAATCCAAACGAAACCCATTCAGCAGTACACATGGTACTATTTATTTAGTATGTAGTTCTAACTTTTGAGTCTGTGGATGAAATTCTATGGTGTTACCATTCAAATGAAACCTTTTCACCAGTTCTTTCACATGGTACAATTTTTTTATTAAGTGCGTAGTTCTAACTTTTGAGTCCGTGGATGAAATCCTACGATGTGACCATTCAAATGAAACCTCTTCAGCAGTACTTTCACATGGTACTATTTATTTAGTATGGAGTTCTGACTTTTGAGTCTGTCGTGTGACCATTCCATAAAGTTTAGTCCAGTTTGACTTTTGCTACCTTTGGAAGTGAAACGGTGGCTTACCTGCAAGGATGAACAGATGCCATTGTCATTGGCAAATGTGGGTGTGCTTCCACTGTAACAGTCTTCTTAGCATGATCCTAAAACCAAATTATTGCAACAACATGGGTGTAAATTAGTTACCCATTATTGTTCCATTATTGTTACCAATATAGAATTACCCAGTTAACCAAGTGGAAGTTAGCAAAGCCTTTTGAGTTACAACTGGTTGAGTCCAAGGTAATTATACTGGAAGGTACAAAACAAAGGTCACAGTTCACTTGTGCACTAGGTCACTATGCTCACGGATGAGCTAAAACTCTATTTAGGATTTTGATTAGGGCTGGGAGTGTTGTTTATTTACCATATTAGAGTACCCTAGCCAGCACTTGTGACCTGTGACGTGTGACCTGCGTTTTGTGCAGGTCTATGTATTACCCAAAATTTATGCTCAAGTGAGGCCCTGCCGGTCAAGCAGTTTTGCTTGATCAGTTGTGAATGCCCAATGTGGTTTCCGGTGAGATGAACTACACGGCAAGACGTGTCAAGACGAGATTCCTTCCCACTCTGTTGCCAGACATCAAGGAGCCAGCTCTTGCCCCAACTCCCGGCAGGGAGGGGGGAGGGTACTCATGGTCTCTTGTGGTAAGGGTGTACAACAAGCTACCCAAAACCATAGAGAGAAATAGTACCCAATTCCATTACTTGATTCCAAAGAGCTCAAAATCCCACCCTTTTTGCATTGTCTGAGACCTAAACGGTTAAAATTCATTGTTAGTTTCAGAGCAAAATGGGTATAAAATCATACCCTTGGTGCTGCACAAACCAATACAGCACATATAACAGAACGGGGAGTACCCTATCACTCTCCTCTCTGCCCTCGGGGCCCCCGGCTTTTCATAAATTACTGACGCACGAGAACAGAATGCACTTCCTGGTGCATGGCGGCAGCCTCCACTTTAAAGAAACCACGTGTAGAGACTGTTATGTTGTTATTTCCGTCATTAATTCCTGTCATGCGTCTTGGCTCAGTATTGAGGAAAATTAGAGTTTCCGGACATATACACGTGGTCAAACTTGAAGTAGCAGAGTAAGTGCCGCTGATATGCAGCTTCTTCATACCACCAATTCCAACTCATCTTTCTAAAAGCTCGTCAGCTGATGCCATTTATAGTTAGAAGTGAAATTAGTGTCACCCTGCGAGTGGAGCCTCCTTTTCCCAAAATCGAGCAAGCGAAAGAAAGGCTCTCGGCTGCTAGCAGGGTGAAGCAGTGTACGAGACAGTCGTGAAAATTCCTGCGGAGAACCGAACGACCAAAAGAGAGACGCTCTGTGACTTAGGCCTGTTTCAAACGGGGGACACCCCCCTGCCGGGGTGTCCCATGTCGCCCGTCTGAATTTTAAAGCATCTCGTGTCGGTGTTTATAAATGCTTGTCACTTATTGTCAGCTATTCCGTCACTGTCTCAATTTGGCCGAGGGAGGTTGTCTCTTGTCGCGATTTCATTTTACGCACTGTTGCTACTTTTTGGGCCATGTCACTTGTCGGAATTTACCCTGGCAGGGCCTCTCATATGCATAACCTAGACATACACCAGGCCCAGAAAACTGCTGAAAAAATTGAGGTTTCCAAGAGTCTTTCAGATAATAATAAACAAAACACAACTGACTGGGGGGGCATGGTTTGATTCAAGTTTCAATTTATCAGCCACTGAATCAACTCCTACAGGTAATGAACAAATGAAAATAATCACATAACGTACATTTGCACATGAACAAATTCTGCACAAACCTATAATGAAATATGCATGAGTATATTATGTGAAAAATTGACTGAACTACAGCGTTCACATAATTAGGCCCATGAAAACATATAATGACACTTCCATCACATTTAATGATATATTATTTATTTACGATGTTATTAAAAGATCTTAAAACTAGTTGCTTCTTCTTTAGGGAACAAAGGAGCAATGTAAGAAACATGTGCTTACTGAAACCCCTGAAAACTACATGGTATTAAGTGGTTTACCTGACTCATGTCTTCATACATTTCCTCTACAGTTAATGGTTGGCGGTTCTAAAAACAAGCATAAAATAATAAAGGCACATTTTTCCTCAACACTTGCGCTGCTTTCAAAAAGGAATTGCTAAATTCAGGCTTCATGGCCACCCAGGTTTGTTGTATTAAATATTTCAACTTGTGTGTCATTCTCTTATTTTATTCTTTCAGGGCTTCATAGTTTTTCCTAACGATCCTCAGACACATCCTTCATTAATACTGATCTGGCTGAAAACAAAACGGTTCCGATTATAAGTGACATTCTCATTACAAAGAAAAAGGTCTGGCCAGGCAGTTATGTCAAATGGAAAGTGCAGGACGACTCTAAGTCTGAGGTCGTTCCAAAGATGTCACGTGCCTGGGGTACTTTTTTAGGTCAAAGAACATTGTTGGCACGGCAGCGTAAAAATGTCATTCAATCTACAGCACAGATCCTGTTAAGGGTACTCGTGAAGTCACTTAAAAACATTATTACCTCATTATAGCCAAACAGCCATAACCTTGGAGTCTGATAATATTTGTCATAAGTGATGTACATGTCATAGGTTCTTGTTTGAAGAATCCCACCAGAAGCACTTGCATCCACAGCACCATCTCCTGTCTCAGTTTTGGATGCTGGTTTAATTGATAAAGTGGCCTAAACAAGAAAATAAAACGAATGATTTTTGATACCTGACTTTGAAAACTGTTTTCAAACAAACAATGCTACAGGAATTAAAGTACCTCATCACTTTCTAGCATCCCACTTTCTGCAAAAGCTGAAAATTTAAAAAGAATGAGTGAAGTTAGTTAAATTTATTTCTGGCTATTCGAGCATTTGTGTAATTTGTACCACAGCTATACTTTGTCTATCTCATGAATTTAATTTTCTTTTTTTAACTTTGTGCGCGAACGATTGGCCATGGAGATAACAAATGCAAATGCAAACAAATGCCCATTTTAAAGCCATTATAATTAATATTCTCTACATCAATATAAAGTTGTTCTTTATACCTAGAAGTAATTTTTTTTTACCTTCCATATCAACTGCTTCTTCTTCATCATCTTCCTCATCGTCATCATCATCTGCTGGCATCATGTCCTTTGCTGCCTGTGAATATAGATTCAAACATGGTAATAAAATGCTACCTCTGATTGAGCAATGTCAGTGTTATACAGTCAAGTAAGTGACTTACAGGTTCAACAATAGGCTCATTTACATGACTGTCTCTCCTTATCTTGTCAGAATCTAAAGTCATTTGTGAGAATGACTCCAGTGTACCCACAGTAGCCTGATCACCACTTGGATCCACATGATGGTGGGTGTCCACCCACCCACCATCTTCACCAGGTTCAACAATAGCCTCATTTACATGACACTATATCCTTATCTTGTCAGAATTTAAAGTCATTTTTGACAATGACTCCTGCATACCCGCAGTAGCCTGATGACCACTTGGATCTACATGATCGACACCCACCATCTTCATCAGGTTCAACGATAGCCTAATTTACATGAACGTCTATCCTTACCTTATCAGAATCCAAAGTCATTTCCGAGAATGACTCCTGAGCACCGGCAGTAGCCTGATCACCACTTGGATCCACATGATGGTGGGTGTCCACCCATCCACCATCTTCATCAGGTTCAACAATAGCTTCATTTTCCTCTTGATGCTCCATTTCTTTACATCGCTTGTAGCAGGGAACTGTGAATAAGGTCAAAAAAAGCTTAGAGGAGGTGCTGAGTACCTGTTAATGGCCAATTACAGGTACAGCAGAACCTCCATGTGCAACAACAACTCATAAATGACTACCCCCTATAAGCAACCACCAATCCAAAATGCCAATATTTTCCCAGCCCTATAATAATAACCTCTTTTAAATGACCATCTGTCCTCTTCAAAGCAACTGCAGCTACTTTTCGGGGTGAGTTTTGTAATTTACCACTTTCATCGCTCTTCATGGGCTGATCTCTTTGTTTTCTGTACGTACTACACACACCGATACAAAGAACTTTTACTGTCAACATGGATCCACACAAATTGCAAGCAATAAATTCTCTTCCAAAAAGATGTGTCAAGACCTCTTCTCAGAAGGGACCCCATGTCTATCGATTCTCATAAGTGACCATTTCCCATTAGGTAACCAATACAGTTTGCATTTTAGCTAATCAGTTATGGGTTGACCAAAAAAAACATTGATTGGCTTGCTAAAAGATTCTTCAGTTGTCTGCAGTGTTTGTCCTCAGTTTGTAAGATAATTTTATGAAGCCTGTGATACATGCAGGCTTAAACAAAAGTAGGAAAAGGCCACATACCAAATTTGAATCTCAAACTATTAACTAAAGAAATACAGTCGACTCTCTCTTAACGGACACCTCTATAAGACGGACACCTCTGTAAAACGGACACCTAGAGTTGGTCCCTGCCTTTGTTTATTCCCTTTATTTGACTCTTTATAAGACGGACATCTCTCTAAGACGGACACTTAGTGCCGGTCCCAAAGGTGTCCGACTTGGAGAGAGTTGACTGTATGCTCTATATCACAGCAACCAGGACTTTGCTCCTTCAACCAGTAATGCTTCCGTCCATTTTTCCCGAAGAACAATCAACTGAAGATAGATTACTGATGAAGAATTCATAGTGTCAGGGCTTCTGATATTTCGCACAGTCACAGAGCCGCGAAATTCAGGTAAATCCGCGAAATCCCGCGAAATTCGGTAGAAATCTTATCAAATACATGTCTGTACAGCATTTTTGAAACTTGTCTCAGCTAGTCTGGGGCTATTTACTTGCCATAAACTTCCAAATTTATCTCGAAACTTCGTCACTGAAATGTGCAAACAATGTCCCAAAACTACCAGGCGTACATTATGTTACGAAAAACTGGGCACTAGCCATTATGTTAAAGGCTTTGCCATTGGTTCATTTCTGGAGCGTGTTGTTGTTGAAAGAGCAAATGACGACCTCTGTTAGAAAAACATTAACAACGCTGGTCTGATCAGCGCAAAACTGATCGATTTCTAGCGAAATTTGCCCTGAAAATAACCACAAAATCCGCCATTTTTTTACTGATTGCTTTCTAGCCCAGTTTGCACCAAAAATTCCCACGAAAGTTGACTTTTTTTTCCACGACCTATCAGAAGCCCTGTAGTGTTAAAGGTGCTCACCATTTTTTGTATACAAGAACTGCTTGTCTTTAGGAAGATAACCCTTTATTTTCGTCTCATCAGGCCCTGAGTCCCTTGAAACAAAACATAACACAGGACATTTGTTGATCCCAACAGTATGAATCAAACAAGTCATAGAATCAAATCAAAGGGTGCCTAAGGCTAACTTGCAGATTCTTATTAAATTACTGTATTTTAGATATGAAACAAGATAAAGAACCTGCAATTAGTCTACCAGTATATTTTAAGTCTGTCAAAAAATGAAAATATGTTTTACGAAAAAACAAAAAAAAAAAAACAAAAGGGCCAAAAAAAGAAAAAAGTTTCCAACAGGGAGAGTCCAAATCCCGACCTCCGACGTGTAAGGTCAATGCTTTTAATCTATTGCACCTCAACAACTAATATTGAAGATTCCCGTTAAATTAATCAGCTTTAACACTTTTGCTCATGAAATTCTACCACTCTATGCTGTTTGAAGCTGGTAGAGCTTTATTTATGGAGAATTGAAAGATATATTCAGGGAAAACAAGCATGATTAAAGACGTACTTTAACTCATTTCAACACATTTGAAGAACATATGGCAGATAAGTGTCTCGTAAAACTGTCGCAAAGTCTCTTGCAGCTTGTGATTCTCAGCGTTTACCAGAGGAGAACCAATTACTATACTGTACGATTCAGCAACTGTAAACATTTCCGTTTTTATTGAACCAAGAAACTTTTCATTTCAGAATGACATTTCACCTAAAAACCATGAGATTGGGACTCTTGTTGTAAGAAAACTTTAAAAATCATGAGACTCATGGCAGAATCGTGAGCTTGGACCAGCTTGGGAGTTGAAGAGCAATAAACTGCTGATCTTTTCGTCATGTTTATCTCCTGGATGAGTCAAAAAGGTTCAAAAATTCATAAACTTCTGTCTCAAAGTTTGCCATAGTGCTAAGTTGAAACATTCAAAGTGCAAATGAAGACAATCATCTTGTGACTCCTCAAAACGCACAAAATCAGCACATCGCAGAAAAGGAACGATCTATGACAGTTGTCGTATTGACACCGGGTGCTTTCGTGCAGAGCTGACTGATTTACGAAAGATATCTAAATCTGAGTGACACATTTGCATATCGCAGTGCCCACAAAACATGTTCCTTACGCTACACATAATCCACAATTTAAAAATGCTTTAATTAAACTACTATTTCTGCATTAAGTAATAGCACCTAGAGAATAAGTACACACCATTTCCATGTTGGACAGTGATGGACTAAATGATCTCCTGCCGCCACAAACTGCAAAGGAGTAAAAACAGCAAAATAGTCAGAGTAAATTCCAGGCGGGGGGGGGGGACTCCCTTATATAAGCCATATAGGTAAATGCCACCCTATCGGGTAGGGTTTTTGCGCTGTTTTGGTCTGAAAATGGGTATACACTTTGCCCATTTTGGTCTGGAATCAGGTTGGGTTTTCGAGGGTACTACTGGAGTGTATGAACATTTTTATCGTTTCAATTCCAAATGAGTAAGGAAGAAAGAGAAATATGCGAATTCAAAATGAATTCGATTAGTTTTTATGTTTGTGCCCTAATCTAAGTGATGACAACATAATTTCTGCCTCAAGGCCAGGTCTGAAAACGGGTATGGATTTTAGAGGTCTAGTCTGAAAACAGGTGTGGATAATGAAACTTTTTGGTATAAAATCGGGTCAAGATTTGAAGAAGCGGGCGGCACACCCCCACCAAGAATTCCCAGGACTAGCCCCCTCCCCCCCCGGGATTCCAGACAGTTGAGTATTAAATCTATTTCTAGTTTGTCAGGGGCTACGGTTTTTCTAAACTAAAATTTACCAGAAAACTTATGACAGTGATTATGCATGAAAAGGTGGCTAAATTAACAGTGGCTTCTAGCTGACAATTGACATGAATGATAACATGTTTATTTTGGGGTAGTATTTAAGCTTAAAGCACTGCTATAAGCAATAGAAATCGAAAGATTCGAAAGTGATACCATTCCCGTTTCCCGTGCCAGCCCTCCCATTTCGTGAGCGATTCCAATCTAGATCAAACTGCACTGAAATGAAAATACTATATACTTACTTCCTCAGGAGTAATGACTCCAGTTTCTTGAAACTTTGACTCCTGTGTTGATAGATTGGAAACGTGTTAAACCTCAAGGTCATATCCACTTACGGGGCAGATGTACGCTCATGCACACAAAGAACGCGATCGTACCTTTAAAACTGGAGTGAGATATTCTGCTACTCCAAGCGCAGTTCCCTTCATCTTATTAATGACATCTTGCATTGCCATGGTGGAAATCAGCTCTTAGACTCCTTAGAGGAAGTATTTATCAAACGACACGACCAGATACAAACCTTCATCAAGCAGTAACGAAACAAAAGGTGCATATCCTCACAAGAATATCCGCTGACTAAGAATTGCTTTTGCAATACATGGTCGTCACGCAACACTTCACATGGTCACACAACGTTTTTGCCTTCAACTCATAGGTATCATGAACTAAAGGAATTTACCAGTTTTGTTCTGTTTGAGGTATGAGATCCTGGCTCAGTCTAGGCGGTCTAGGCGTTCGGATAGTGGAGAGCCGTGCGAAGTAAGAGAGTGGGGAAAAAAGTAAGGAGGAAGAGAGGGAGAGGGAGTGGGCCGAGATGAGGGAACTCGCTCTCACCCCCCTGCCATCCCTCGTTGTCTTTTCTCTGCTCATATCTCTTTGCGCCGTCCCCGCCTGGAACAGGAAAGGCTCAGTCAGTTCCAAAGTGCCCAAACCACCAGCCCCCGCCACCCGCCCCCAAGGGAAACAGAGCAAAAATAATCCATGCTGTACGTAAATGAGTTGTGAAACAGTAGCGACTTCTCTCAATCCCCAACAGGGAAAATAGCGACCTTAGCGGTTTTCCCAACACTTTATGCATTGGAGAATAAAGCAGTCCTTGTTTTGCCAAGGCTTGTCCCTATGAAACGACAAACGGAAATGAATAATTGCAAATCCATTTCTAAAAGGGTTCTTTGCTTTAAACTCTCTCTCTAACTCGTCTCCTCTCCAGTCACCAGCTGTAGAGGCTCCCGCCTGGGGACAGAAAGAGGAAATGCTCTTGGAAAAACGGGTCAAACTGGTGGGTACAGCAGTACAAGATCGATACGTCCCAAGAAATTTGTATGGTCTAAAAGAAAGCAAAACAATTTGAAGCAGTTGAGATTCACGGTAGTCTCATTTTTTTTTTCCGTTTCAGTTATATTTGAAACAGATTGATACCCGTACAACACTTATTAATTGCATGATGACAGCCTGGGTAACCAGCCTTAAAATCTGTCCACATTTAAAGTAACTACGTTTTCTCGTGAAGTAGGCGTCGAAACATCCTCGGAGACCCAGGGGCAGATAGCGGGGGCGAGAGAAAGTCTAAACAGGCGGGAAAATATGGCACGAAGAAAAGAAAAGAACGGCGAGAAGAGCCCCTGGGCCATGTCTTACCAGACCAGTTCCAAACGGTCGCCGCCGTTCTGCCTTCTGATAAGGCAGAAAAACACAAAAGTTTTCTGGCACCAATTAGAAGCCAGAACGACGACGACAGTTTGGAACTGGTCTGGTAAGACACTGTCCCCAGGGGCTCTTCTCGCCGTTCTTTTCTTTTCTTCGTGCCATATTTTCCCGCCCGTTTAGACTTTCCCTCGCCCCCACTATCTGCCCCTGGGTCTCCGAGGATGGCGTCGAAAGAGGTGGAGGAAGAAGGGAAAATGGCCCTCTCTCTCCCCTTTCTAGTTTCAATCAACTAACACCCCCCCCCCCCCTCACCTTCTACCTCTCTTTTTAGCGCGTGCCACGTGGACCACACGTATTCAATAGCGAGATGGTTTCTGATCACATCAATCATGTTCCCCTGGATAAATAAGTGTCAAAAAAAGACTAAGACTTAACATCATCTATTGACATTTACGTTTAATGTTATTCATCCTGATTATCTCATTTTGTCAACATTCCAAAACAGCAGAACATTAGAATGGATGCATGATGTATAATCGGTTTGAGCTGAGCCGCTAAATTTCTTTCACTCGATCTTAGACTAAAAAGCTTTGCCTAGTCATTCCGAGAGGCCTGTGTATCTCGGGTCACGTGGTCCAAGCAAGTTTGTCTCCCCACCGTTCGGTTCGGCTATAGCCTGTTCCAGGCTCCGAGATAGTCGGGCCTTCCTTTTTCCTTTTTCCCTTTCCCCGCCAACTTTTCGCATGCCTTTTTCTTTCGTGTTTTCCCATTGAATAAGAAGGCCTGGGAAGAAACCGTACAGAAATATTATGCTCATGTCTTTGTTGGTCTACGTTTAACAACGACAGATTCATGTTAGCTTGAATAACTCAACAACATTGCACGACAGAAGAACTTGAAAAACAGGTTCGAGCCCAGCAGCTAAATTTTCTTCATTTCATTTGGCTTCCGAGAATGAACTGAATGATTTAAAATTAAAAAAAGTTCACATTTTCTGTTCTGGAAAACTTTACCGAAAATATCCTGCGTTTGATCGTGGACATCAGGTAGACATGAGTCCATGTACTTCCTTTTATGAAAATGTCTCTTAATTATTGAATAGTTCCTTTAACTTAATTTCTATTATAATAGTCCTTTTAATGCCTTTTTGCCAAAACATCCATTTGCAATATAATTCTTTATTTAATCAAATCCGAATAAAAGTCAAATTATTACTCTCTGATTCTGATCATTCTTCATCAAGATTTCCGGTAGTGTCCCGCATGTTCTGTTTTCGTTCGAGCTCATCCGCTGCTGATAAATTCTAGTCCTCTTTTTCGCCTTCCTGGACTTTCTTTTCGCCACCGTATTCATCCCTTCTCTCGCCAGACTTCTCAAACTCCTCACCCTTGACATGCTCGCTAGCTTCATACTCGTTCTTCTCTGGTTCGACCTGAGCTTCTAAACTCTCGTCTTCTTTTTCGCCAAACTGGCCTTTCACTTTGTCAGTGCTTTCGTCTTTTCTTTCCATGTCATCGCCCTTTTCGCCTTTGTCCTCTGCTTTTGTTTCCTCTGATCCTTTTCGCTCACCGTCGCAATTTTCGCCGTCGCTGTCTTCTTTCTTTTCTTCTATCTCTTCCTTTTCACCCGTTAGAGCTTCCAGTATATCTCTGACAAGCTGTTCCACATATAAACAGAATTCTTTGACAATGCCTGGAATCTCCTGCGCCTTTTTCCGATTGTCGTTGAATTTCTTTATCTTGCCTGGCAGTGAGAACACAGCTGTCTTTGTCTTGAGGAGGCTATGGAAGTCGCGCTGCGGATCAATTGCTTTTATTCTGTTCACGCATTTTTCAACGCCGTCCTGCACGTGCGGTTCCAGTTCCACAGCTTCTTTTCCAGAGAGCTTTATGTTCTTGAGTGCTTCTACCGCATCACGGTAAGGCTTAGGAGGCTTGACTCCTTTAATGGACTTCACCTTTATTTCACCATCCTCCTCGTCGATGTAGATTGTTATGTTTCCCTCCTTGGCGTTCTTTTTCAACTCCTTGATGTAATCCTTAAACTCCTTCTTTGCATCAAACTTGCAAACGGTCTTCACGACGTTTTCAAAGGATTCCCGCGCGGCTTGAATGCGTTCACGTGTCTCCACGAACGGATTAATGGCTGAGGCTAGTGAAATAAACACGCTGTCGATATCATCAAGCCCCAGGGATTCAAACTTCAACTTTTTGTGGAATTCATCTTTCTTCTTCTCTTTCTTTTTTTCACTTTTTCCAGTAGCGCCGCCCTCATCCTTTTTCTTTCCTTTCCCCTCTGATGTCTCCTCTTCATTCGATTCGCCCTCATCACCTTCGGCCAGATCCTCTTGCATTTTCTTTTTATCTTCTTCATCAGCAAACGCATGATAAATTTCCAAAATGATCTGTTTCGTTTTGCGGTAGAAGTCTCGCACCATTTTAGGAGCACCTCTGATCTGTTCCACATTGTTGCTGAACGCTTTTTTCAGTTTCGGAATCTTTCCGAAATCCCAAACACTCTTAAATTCTCGCTTTAAAATGTCCTGAACATTCAGGCCTTCTGCCCGGTTAACGGCGTCATCGCTTCCCTTTTGAATAGTCAGCGGCATCGCTTTCAAATCTTTCCCCAATTTAAGAATGGCATTAACAGCAGTAACCGCATCCGAAATCCCTTTTACTATTGCCCCGCCCTGTTCGTAGATGGTCAAAGCGCCTTGCTTTATCTTCACTGTTATCTTCTCATCTTTAAGCTTCGTCTTTAGTGCAGCTACATATTCACCGATGCTTGCCTTGGGGTGGATTTCTCCAAAGGATTGCACAGCTTTCCTAAAGGAGTCCTCACTCTTTTCTAAATCTTCACGGTTTTGAACAAATGGGTCAAACGTTGTTTTGAAATCGTCAAAGATGCAGTCTAGCTCAATAATGTCGAACTTTTTGAAGTCAAGAAGTTTGCTCTTCTTCTCGTTAGTACCTTCGGCGCCTTTCGGCTTACTTTCGGCGCCTTTTGATTTGCCTTCCGTGCCTTTCGGCTTACTTTCGGCTCCTTTCGACTTCCCCAATGATTTTCTGTTGGATTCGTTTTCCGAACCTTTGGGCTCCTGTGGAGCAGGTTTGACTTCTACGTCAGGGACAACAGTAGGCTGGGAATGGATGCTGTCTTCGTAATCAGATTCAGTTCCATCTGGAGCATTTCTTTGGTTTTTAAGTAGTGGGCTTCTTAGTGGTTTCTGAAAAAGTTGATTATAACTCTGTTAAATCAGGGTCTTAAAGAAAGGCAAATCGAAAGAAAGATAGAAAGCTGAAATTTGGTCGCTTTAATTTTCAGCCCGTTGATAAAGATGAGTAGTGATGTCTCTTCACTCAGTACAAAGGCGACTAGATATAAAACTGATCCAAGTTCTCTCAACAGGAGTCGAACCTATGACCTTCTGTTTACTAGTCCAGGTGCTCTACCACATAACTACAGGAGACTCGTGGAGAGTGGACTGGAGTGGAGACTTTATTTACAGAGGGTAGCACTTGACAGTTACAAACAAAACTGATAACTAGGGGCCCTCATGAAAGCAGAGGCTTCTCAAGTTAATTAAGGCATGGGTCGCCAGTTATTAAGTCGACAAGTGAGGGGGTGGTCTATCTTTCGTTAGCAATAGCAGGTTGAGAACTTGTCAGACACATACACTGCTAGTTTTTGTCTACTTCTTGGCCTGCACCAAATATGCAAATGAGGTCATGTGTCTCGCCACGCCCTGAAAAGCTTTGAACTAAAATGGGCACACTTTTCTTGTTCCATTAATTTTCCTACTGCTTTCATGATTTTAAGGCCGTTAGATCACAGGCAGCCCAAGCGCACTATTTGTGGGTTCGGGCTTCAGAGGTCATTTGGTCGGAATATACTAGAATTATTAGTGTATTATCTGATGCCAAATAAATGCAAAAAGTCTTAAAGATATGAAGTCTTCTTGTTTGTCTATCTGTACTAGTAGCCTTTAAGATAACGAAAATCGATATTTCTTGCATTATTACATGTAATTCGGGCCCTTATTGATCGAATTTTATCACATGTATTCGAATCTACAACGCTAAGGAAAAAAAAATCATGATCACGCGAAATATTGATTCAGAAAGCTCCCTTACCTTTAGTTCAGAGCCACTCTGTGTCCTACGGCTGGTTTAAACGCCGTTTAGTCGACTTTCTTTCCATCGAGTACTGAACACTATAGCCCGAACCCACAAATAGTGCGCTTGGGCTGCCTGTGGTTAGATATGTCATTTCTGCGCTTGGCAATGTCAAGATGTTAAAGGAAAAGTCTATTGGGAGACGGGGTACTAGTCGGAAAAGCCGTTTATTTTCAAAATAAATGAGACATTTCAAAGTTGCTAAGTGCAGTTTTGTAGCGGCTTATATTTTCTATTTTCTTGTACCAGTTAAGTAAAATAACTCTTGCTAAAAAGCGTGCCACTTTTTTCTTAAAGATTTTTCAGACTTTGTGGAGCTGTATAGTAAGGTCACGTGTCCTAATTTGCATCATATTTGTGTGTTCTGAAGTATAATTTTTTGTGATTCATAATATTTGTTGGTATTTTGTGCTTCATGTTAAACAGTTCATATTATCAGGAGCCGATTACTTATCGGCTCCTGATTTATAGACCACCCCCTTCATTTTTTTGCTGTTGACCCATGCCTTAATTTACTTGAGTTTTTAACCAGATGATTGTTTTTGTTTTCCAGACAGGAAAACTGATGCCAAACTAATACTGGCATAAGCATTTTTTTACCTCTTGACCTTTGCCTTTAGAAAGCAGTGGTTCCCTTTCATCGCTTCCAGAAGGCTGAAAGAAAGCGAATGAAATAAAATGTCTGTGAGTATTTATTTGTTATTGCGTTCGACGAAGGAGAACGCTTACTTTTCGAGTCCCGCGGGTAGCGTTCTGGGTGCCATGACCCCGGATTTCAGGGTTTGGGCACCATCTTGAACCGGCTGGCCCATTTTGCCTCGATCTCATGGCTTCAGTTTTTCTCGCCCCAGGACTGGTTTCTGATGAAACATTGGCGAATTTGTGTTTGCTACAGGTTTGTTTATGGTTTTTCTAACAGATTTCAATTAAGTCTTTTTTATAGGATAAATTCCATTCTAAGATAATCGGTTATGTAGGTATTATGTTAACAATGTGTTCTACACACTGTATTTGTTTTTAACGATTCAAGCAAGATCAGCTAAGAACGACCATATTTACTGATTTAATTTTATTACGAATTAAAAGCTATTTACAGTGTTGTATTCGCTTTTGTTTGTCACCATTTTGGAAAACTATACAGCAGGTTGAACGATGAAACGTTGTCCTTTTCACCGCGCTAATTCCGGGTGAGTTGTATTTTGAAAACTGTGCACATTCTGAGTTGACCCAAAGTCACGCAACAGTGGTTTGAAGTCATACGCGACGCTTTGACAGCTCAATCAATAAACTTTTCAGATGACTTCTGTAGCCCAATTTTTTGCCAATTTTATTGACCATCCTACCGTGCAAAAGAATATCTTGAGGATCATAGTCAGTGTTTGACCTGCTGCAGGTACTTACATGTACTTTACTTAGATCAAAATAAACTAATCAAAACCATTCAATAGATGAAGTCCAGAATTTGGGAAATGAAAGGAGGTACAAGATTCAGATTCGCCAAGATTCAGGTTAGAGGAATATTTCGCATACGGGATATCCGAGGAAATGTTTTACCCAAACTTATAGAGATTTGTATGGAGACGCCATGCTGGTGCTCACCTGGATGAGCTCCAACATGGCGGATGGAAACCAACAGAAACGTCTGTTACCGAGTTTTGCTGCAAAGGCGTGAATTTATTCTTCGAGAAACTCATAAAACATTAAAGTAATACTTTTTTTTAACCTACATGACAGCTCTCTTAGCCGTCATGTAAATGCCGCGTCACGCAAAAGCTTAGAAATTCAAGCGTACTCTATCACAAAACCAAGAACCCTTTTGAAGCAAAAATTTGTATGAAAATTAGTTTTCAGCAGCTCTAAATAATGCATCGTGAAAGTAAAATCTCGGTCAACCTCGTCCCCGGGGCTTTTCCCTTAAAAAATGGGTGGGGCGGGAAAAGGCTCCGGCATGGCTGGTCACTTGTCTTCATTAAAATAATATTCATATGAACGCTAATGTATGAATTCCTGTGGACAATTCTGCATCCTCATTGGTTGACGGCTTTTCAGAAAAATACAGTAGACTATTGATTTCTGATTAATTTTCCCGGGAGGTGGAGGAAATCTCCACGCGAAACTCGCCAATTCTGGCTGCGTTGAAAGAGAAAAATTCTGAAATTGACGGAAATTTATGGAGGAATCAACTCCTAAAAAGGTTCATCCTCGAAATTTAATTTGCCGGCTTTGCTGCGATGCATTTGAGAGCCGTCACTTGACTCGTGTTTTCGGTAGAGCGAGTAAAAAGGAAGGCAGTAAGGAAGATCTTGCCTCGAAGATTCGAAATGTGTGTGGAATTAACATAACTGAAAGTGATTCCCTCTCGACGCTTATATGCAGGAAGCCCCACCCATTTTTTAAGGGAAAAGCCCTGGGGACGAGGTTGAAATCTCGGTAGGATCGATAGTTTTTTAGTTTGAATTTTAGTGACGTCATGTGGAAACCGGCAACAATTCGCATTTTTCCGAAAAACAAAAACTATATGGCGGCAACAAAATGGGGGAGATCGTTCCAATAGTATTTTCCAATGACGGTAGGGCAAAACTTTCGAATATTAATTCTTGAGTGGGAAATGTGTAATTGCTGAGCAGATGCACTTCGTGTAAAATAATTATGTTGCTCAGATACAAGAAATAGTGGAAAATTACACGGCTTATTATCAGAGACATAATCATATAAAAACAAACAATTGTAAATTTTAACAATATCACGAAATTTTAATAAACCTAGATGAACATAATGAGGAGTGATATGATCTCGTAAAGGAACGTCACTCATTATTCTAAATGCTTTATTTTGTAGACGTATGAGCTGTGATAGTGGATTATCATAATTATTTCCCCACAATAAGCAACCATATATGAGATATGGGTGAACAAGAGAAATAGTAAATACAAGAAACAAGAGAATAGTAAATACTAGTTAAACATACTTTTCGTCAACGACCTGCCACTGGAAGTCTCCAAAAGTACTGTCGAAATTTACGATTATGATACAACACAAATTGCATGTGGACGTACTGTTGAGGAGGTAGAAACTGTCCTTATTGATGAACTGAGGCTTCTAAGCAGATGGGCCGATGAAAGTAAAACGGTTTTAAACCATAGCAAGACAGAGTCAATGATTGACTGCAGCAAGCCGAAGTTTCGGCGCTTGGACGATGAAAATCTTACAGTGAGAACCGATAAGGGCCAACTTGACTCTGTAGTGGAAAGTAAACTGCTTGGCATAAAGTTAAACAAGTGTTTAACCTGGGAAAATCATATGGCTTACGTTAAAGGAAAAATAGGGGAGCGACTTGACCTGCTGAAAAGAACACAGAAATTTCTTTCCCGAAAAACAAGAACTCTGTTCTATAACTTAATTATCCAGCTAATACTTAGTCTGATACACAGCCGTTGGGGAGAAGCGTTGCGTGACGACACTAAAAACGGCTGTGTAGCAGACTAGCCAATACTTGACTATGGGGCGGTTTTCTGGGGATCCAATGACAAACAGCACGTCCAAAGTATTGTCAAGTTGCAGAAAAGATGCGCCAGAATAATCCTGGACAAACAATGGGACACTCCGACGAAACCTCTATTCAAAGAACTAAATATCTTGCCATTTGACAAAAGACTGTCTGGAGTACTTGCGGAATATCTTAGTTTTTAAGGCCCTCAACAATCTCGCACCAACTTGATTACATAAGAGCTATGTTTACAATGTCTAATGACATTCATAATCTCGGCACGAGAAGAGCAAAGCACAAATTGATACTACCAATGGTTAGTACTAGTATGGCCAAAAATGCTTTCAGGTTTTCAGCAGCTAGGAACTGGAGTGAACTCCCAAAAGACATCAAAGAGACCCAGTCAATTAGTACATTTTCGCTGAAACTTAAAACGTACCTTTCATGGGGGGTCTGGTTGGGGGGCTACAAATGTCAGTTGTCAGTTAAAATTTTGGCCATTTGTCAGTTGTCAGTTAAATTTTCGGCCTTTCGTCAGTTGTCAGTTAAATGATTATTAGTAATTAACTATGAAACTTATTTGTTCATTTTTGATCCGAAATTTAGCTAAAAAGCGGTGTTCTTACTAGGATTTTCTACACTGTCCACAGGACCCACAGAGAAGCTAAAAGGGGGTCACGAGGGAGAAAAGCGGGTCACAGTATACGAGTACTGTACAGTACCGCAAATGATCCCCAACCGCAAATGATCCCGAGACCGCAAATGATCCCCAAAATGGACCGCAAATGATCCTCGACCGCAAGTGATCCCCAAAGTCGACCGCAAATGATCCCGAAAGAAAAATAGGAATGGCTTAGACTCGAGTTAGCGGATCGTCGTGACGATTTTATTATTAATACAAAAAGTAAGATTAAACGCTAAATTTCAGTTCTTAAATAAATACGTATATACATGAATAAAAACTAAATGAAAAAAATCATTCAAGTGTAAAACGAAGTCGGTAGGCAACACTCCACTTTTAGCTCATGCCAAAATGCTGCTTGTTCTAATGAATTTTTTTCTCTGGCGGGTAGATTACACCTGAAGGAAAACGTTTTGACTGAGCAAATGTGATTTTTGCCGCTTATTTCATACTGAGAGGTCATGACACGCATTTTCTGCGGTTATTGTTGTTTGTGGTCGGCATGATTTGCTGGATTTGTCCTTTAATGCAAGAGCATTTCTTTCACCTCTTTTGAAATGCAATGCTTCTCGTTCCGGCTAAATAAGGGTTTTAGGTTGTTTAATTTTCTTTTAAGTGCCTCATGGATCTGAACAATTATAAGCGACTTTCTTTTAGTCCGTGAATGTGACGGTTCCTACGATGTTTTGTCACGCGATAACTACCGCTTGCCTCGCTTTTGCGTTTCTCATTACCAGGTTTAGAGTCCTGGTAACTGTCTACAGCAAAGGCAAAAAAATGGATATACATATAAGCGTCAATATAACTATTCGCAACATGTTCATGAGCTGTAGGCAAGTTGCTCTTTCAAAATTAACCGAAAACTGTGGACATCGATAAGTTCGGTGGCATTTTGACGTCTGTTTATTTCAAATCACGTCTTGTTTTTTAACCGGCACTGCCAGGCCTGGGGCACTCATAAGTTACGAACCAGTGTCTTGCTGTTTATCACGTAAAATTAACACTTCAGAGAAAAATCAAAACTAAATATTCTGAAAATTAATTCGACGCTTCTAAAAAGATATGTAGAGGGTGCCCGGCTTTGTATTCCTTAGTAGACAAGTTGAGCTTGGGCGTTAAAATAATAGAGTTTTTTCTGCGTAACGTCCGGCCTGTCTTAAATTTTCAGCGACGAAACAGTTCTTGAAAGAAAATTGAAGCAATTGACAAAGGAAGAAGTATACGGTTGATACCATATCCTCTTCAGATTTATTCCACTTTTTTTTTCGCCTTGTATAAATTGACCTGAGATGTAGCGTCCTCCTTCCCTTTTTCTTTAGAAGGTGCGAGAAAAAGGTTCCTTTTTTTATAATCAGTCCTTTTTGTAATCAGTCCCATAAAATCCATTCCATTCCTCAAGTTTTCACGGGATCATTTGCGGTCAACTTTGGGGATCACTTGCGGTCGAGGATCATTTGCGGTCCATTTTGGGGATCATTTGCGGTCTCGGGATCATTTGCGGTTGGGGATCACTTGCGGTACTGTACAGTTCTCACTGCGTATGTAATCAGTACATCGCAAATAGGTAAGCACGCTAACAAGTTTGTGCCTATTTATTTCATTATTTTTTTATATCAT